AAAAAATTTTTTTCACTTTTAGCAACTTGTGTTTTCCTGTTTTTTCTTAGTCTACCCATATTAAAATATTTTTTCTGTAATTTTTTTCTAGAAATTCACATTCTGGTTTTCTTTATTTATTTTTTTTTGTTTTTTAAACACATTTTTTTAATATTATTTTATCTTTCCTCTTTAATTTTTTCTAAATTTTAAAACCAAGAATATTCCAAATATATTTTTTTCTGTTTATGAGAAGCCATAATTTTTTAAAATTTTTATTTGGAAACCTTTGGCTGGGCAAATATTTACATACTCAAAAAATAACCAGGAAAATTTTTTTGGATTGTCGGGAAAAATCTCTATATAGACGTGTGTTTTGTAATATTCTTGATCAACTTTTTTCCCTGTAAAAATTTTAATTATTTATTTAACTCTTGTCTTATCTAAATTTTTTTTATTTTTTCCTACAATTTATGCCTATATTAAAGATCTAAATAAATTATCATTAATTAAACAATTATAATTTTTCTTATATTTTTTTGTTTGAAATCATCTTTTGTCAAATAAAAAATTAAGAAAATAGCTATGTTTTTTGGATGAAAAAATTTATAAATTAAATTTTAGGAGGTAGATTTAAGATACGTGATGATTTCTAAACTTATGTATTTACTTATATTTGATTTGTTTTTATTTTGAATATTTCAGATTTTTAGGCCAGAAATATTTTTCTAATTTTTTGTAATTTTTAACTAATTTTTTTGCTTTTTTTTTAATTACTTGAATGTACTTAAACATATTTGGCAATTTGTCTCTAATTTGAAGTTTAATTTTTGATTTTTCAATATATTATTTTTGCAATTTATAAGATTAAAAAATGCCAAAATTAGTCCAAAAATAAGTTTTACTTTCCGTTTACTTTTAAAATTTCTTCAAAATTTTTTTTCATTTTTCATGCTAAATTACCTTCAGTTTACTTGAAAAATAAAATCGTTATCTCAACCAAAATAGGACACCGACATGTGATTTTGAAACAAATTCGGGATATCAAGTCCAGTCTCTAATCTTCACTGTTGGAAGATTAGAGACTGTCTTCACTGTTTATCTTCAAATCTTCAAAATCTTTTTCATTTCCTTCATTATTTGTTTCTATTAAAGAATTGAAAATTATTTTTAATTTTTAAATGCCATCAATTTAAAAATCTGTATCATTGCTTAATAATCTAATCCTTCGTTTCTAATTTATTTTTATTTGTTCTCTTCCATTTTATAATAAGTTAATCAACTTTTTGTAACAACAATTAAAGAAAGAAAAAATGTCAAAACGTGATGCATCATTGAAAAAGGAAGAATAAAAAAAATAAACGGAAATGCGTGCTAAAAAGGCGAGATGACAGACAGAAGAAACCTTCCATCATCTCGGCTGGCTGAATTTATAAAATAATTTTTTTCTCTTCGTAGTTACAGTATCTTCCAATTTTACGGTAGCGCACGCGTCCTTTTTAAGTTATTTAGGCGGCTAAAATTTGATAGCTTTATAAAAAAGAGAATTGTTGTTCCGCCCATTATTTTTCACCATTTTTAATGCAATTTCTCTTATTTCTTTGCTTTTTAATGAGTATCTCTTTTATTCACACTCTCTCACACACTCTACAGTGTCTTGCTATATCTCTCTTCCTTCGCCAATCCCCTCATTTTAGTTAATTTATTTTTTCCTTCATTGCCTTTTCTTCTTTTAAAAAAATTTGAGCACACAAACAGCACACAGACTACTAACCCTTTATTCATCAAATATCCCTCTTTCGCCCCCCAATTCAGTCAGTATAACAGCAGCAGCAAAACTACCAAAGGCAACAGCAGTCAGTCTCCGAAGCACGTCCTCATACTCTCCTTTTCCTTTATACTTTTTTAAAAAATATATTTATTTATTCCCCTGCCTGCTGTCAGTCAGTCTCAGCCCTCTCCTCCATCCACTTGGGGTAGTGGTGGTGTTTGTTGTGTGTGCTCGTTGCTCACCGCTGCTATTCACACACAGAGCATATTCATCACACCGTCAACTGCCAGTACAACTACTATGGTCCGCTTTCTACCTGAGGGCAATTTTTTAGTCTATTTGACATTTCATTTTTATATCCGAAACAATTTTTGGACCAAATTTTACACTATTTTTTAAGTATTAAACATTTTTAACCATTACAGTAATACTTTTTGTTGAACGGTAACTAAGAATTTAATAATTAACTTATATTTTCGCTCTCTCTTTTTTTTCTAAAACTCGTAAAAACTTTCCTTATCAGATTGTTTTTTTAATATTAAACAGCTTGTCAAATACATATCACCCTAATCAGTCATTCTTAAAAACCTTCCCCATTTTTCTCTAACTCGTATAATATTTTCTTATTGCTTGCCCCCTCCCTCCCTTCTCCACTATCGTGCCCATACTTCCCAACACAAATTATCGTATCTTTCCCTCTACTTTTTTTTATTTTTCATTTGCCCACTGTCATTTTCTTTCTTTTTGACGGACAATCAATAATCTTGTGTAGTAGTGCAGCGCACAGAATAAATAAATGCTGCTGAAGCAGCGGTGACTAGCAGCTAAAAAAAGATGCGAAATTTTTGCTGCTTGCTGTGGTTATAAAATGGTTACATTGGACAGAAAATTTTTTTCTGCTTTTCTACTTGTTCTTTGTTCCCCTCTTTCTTTTACAAAATACTAAAAAAGGAATGTAGATTAAAAAATAGTCATCAGCTGGTCGGTCATTTGAATGTAAGAACGGTATTTTTGGAGGGAGAAGAAAGAGAAAAATATTGTAACGGTTTTTGGAAGAAGAAAGAAGATTAAAAAATACAAATTTTTGAACTTTAAAAGAAAGGATACAATAATTTTCTTTTGCCGACACACATCTGTGACACGTTTCCAAGGCCGAGCTGCAGCAAATCATCAACACTTTTTTTGCTTTATTTCCTTTCTTCTTTTGCCCTTTTCATCTCGTTGTTATCGGTCGATCTTGTATGCCGATCTCTCTTAATTTTTATCTTTTTTTCTCTTTTTATTTTACCGGCTTTCGTAATATTATACTATAATTTTTTGATTGATTGCCTTGATTTTCTCTCTCTCTTTTGTTTATTCTATCGAAATTAAACATTAAAAATATATAAATTTGTTTTTGTCTCTGGAGATTTAATTTTCTATTTTCTTTTTATTTGACTTGAATGGATACTACCGTAATTGCTCAAATAATTATCCTGGGTATTTGTTTCGATCTCTCGCTAGAGGAGAACTATTTAAATGCATACTTTATATTTTAATTTGATTTTTCGGGTATAACAACGACCATTCTACTTCTCTGACCATTTTATCATTTTTTTGTATTTTTTTCTTTTTATTTAATAAGGGGAACAGAAGGTATGTGGGCGTGTGACATATTTATTAACTATACTTTATTATTTTTCTACTTATTATTTATTTGCCTTCCAATTTTGTTCCACTTTACATTTTTCTCCATTTTTTTTGCCATCATTTATAAATTACTATCTCTTTTTTCTCATTTTATTTTACAGTATAACAACGACAACTGTAAAATTCTCTCTTCCCCTACTTTGCTTTCTCTTTTTCCTCTTTATTTTTTTCTCCTCTTCTTCAAAAAAATTTTTTTCATTCACCCTAAGATACCATTTTTTGTTCTTTCTTTATCTACTCAAAAATTATTATTATTTGTCTTTAAATTGCCCCATTCAGTTTTGGGCAAAATTCACATCAATCAGCCGCACATTCTTTTTCCTTCATTTTACTGCTGCATAAGATGATCTTTCGTGCCCGCTCAAAACATCAAACTCTTAAAATATCTAGACGAGTAAAAAAGCTCAAAATATCTAGACGGTTAAAGAATCTCAAAATATCTAGACGGCTATAAAATCTAAAAATATATTTTCTTAAAACGTCAAACTCTTAAAATATATTTACGGGTAAAATATCTCAAAATATCAAAATATATTTTTTCAATTAAAAGGGACAGTTGAGTCCGCAGAAAAAAGTTTTCGCCGCTGCGGAGGAAGCCGGGCATGTCGAGCGGAACGACGGCCGCCGCTTCGCTACGGTCGCCGCGAGCGAAGCGAGCACGACCGCAGCGAAGCACGGCCATCGTGTAGCGAAGACCATGCCCGGCCTACCCTCCGTAGCAGCACAAAAACAGTTTTTCCAGCGAAGATTCTGTTGGTCATAACTTTGTTCAGAAGCGTCCAATCGAGCTGATTTTGGTTTCACTTGATTCAGCTCGTCGAACTCATGCAAAATTGGTCCTGAAGTACTACATCTTAAAATATATTCACCCCTGATACAAGGAAGAAATATGGGACTCAACTGTCCCTTTTAATTAAAAAATATATTTTGATATTTTGAGATATTTTACCCGTAAATATATTTTAAGAGTTTGATGTTTTGAGAGAATATGTTTTGAGATTTTTTACTCGTCTAGATATTTTGAGAGTTTGATGTTTTAAGAATTTATGTTTTGTATGGGAGCCTGATCTTTTTTTCTTCTTAACAGTCTATAGAGAGGGGGGGGGGGGGTTATTTTCTTTTATTTATTTTTTAATTTTATATATTCTACCCCCTATCTTCCCCCTTTTTGTCTCTTTTTTCCACCATTTCCCCCCTTTCTTTTTAAAAATAAGCTAAAAACCGATCGATGGTCGTCGCTCTCCGCTGGTCCTTACATCTCGTAATTCCTTTTATTTTTTTTTTTAATTTTTTTCTTGATACTGTGTAGAGTTTTAGTTGTTTATTTTTAATAATTTTGAATATATCCAAAAATATTTTATTTTTAATTTTACAGTAATTTTAAAATATTACTGTATATCGTTGGTTTAATTTTTTAATTTTGAATAGGATTTATATAATTTTTTTAAATTTTTCTATACCTGCTGTTTAAATATTTCTTATATTTTTTCTTTTTTTTCTAAATTATTTTTTAATAATTTTTTAGTTAAAAATTTATTAAACAATAGTTTTGTTTTCCAGATTTTTATATATTTATTTACAACAACAACAAATGAATAGCCGAGAACAGGCTAAAGCTTTAGGATTAGAAGAACATATTACCTGCTCTCTTTGTCAAGATTATTTGTCGGATGCTGTTACACTTACTGGATGCCTTCATTTTTGTAAGAAGAAAATTTTTTTTGATTAAAAAATTATTTTTTTTCAAAGTTTGTCGTTCTTGTTTATTGCAACATTTATCTTCAGCTGGTCCAGATTCAAGAAAATGCCCAAAATGTAAAATTGAACTTGGAAATGAACATATTTACAAAAGGGATTTGAGACTGCAGGAATTGGTATTTGACTGCTTTTTTTTAATTAAAAAAATTATTTTTCAAGGTCTACAAATTAGTCCCAGATCTTTTTTGGCGTCAATTACGTCGCGTAGCACGCCGACAACATCGTTCCTCACGTGATTCAAATAATGGTTCTTCTACTACTACAGCTACACCTTCCGAAAGACGAATTCAGCAAAGGCGAATGTTACTTCAATTATCAACTCAATTATGTTCTCCAAACGAAAATATTTCACTTCAAATTGAATATGTTCCTTTAACAAAAGTTTTGGCTGCTAGTGGGGATGATTCTTTAGTGTCTTTATCTGAAAAAATTGCTGCAACAGAAAATCATAAGGAGGGAGAAAATGAGGATAATCAACAACTTCTTGGTGAAGAACAAATTATTTTAATAGATCAACAACAAATACCCAGCAGCAGTTCTTCCTCTCTTCCTCCTCCTCAAAATATTTGTGAGAGAACAACAACAGCAACAACAGTAGTAGAACGACAACAAAAACAATATTCATTTTGTCGTTATTTTCGTTGTTCTGCAAAAGTTAAAATTGAACAATTGAAACGATTACTAGAATCTAAATTGGCAATGTCTAATTTTTATGGTGTTTATTTTGTTGATCCAAAATTGAAATTTGTTTTGGAAGATGATTTTAGTTTGGAGGTTATTTTTAATAAATTTAGAAATTTTGAATAAAAAAATATTTTTTCAAATTTTTTCAGGATGTCGTTCAATTATTTAGTTGGTCAAGAAAATCACCTCTTCGATTAAATTTTACATTAGCTCAATTACCCCCAAAAGAAGATGAAAATCGTCAACCAGCTTATGAAGATATGCCACAATTAGATTTGGAGAGTGGTCCAATGGAATTACCTCAACAAGTATCACCAATTATTACAACAACAACAATAAAATGTCAAAATAATTTAAATGAAATTCCAATACAAGGACAAGAAAAAATTGAAAAAGAAGAAAAATTAATAAAAGAAAAATCTGTTGGGATAAATGAAGGAAAAAATAATATTGGAGGTGAAGGAGATGGTGCCGTTCAAAAAACCGGTGAGGAGAAAAAAATGATTGAGAGGGAAAAATAAATTGATGAAAAAATATCAAAATTAAAAATAAAAAAAGGAGAATGAATGAGCAAAGTTTATATAATTTAAAAAAAACCGGTTTCAGTCTCAGCTTTATAACTTTAATTTTAAAAAATATTTTTAAGGACATTGGTGTTGTTTGTCATTCAAAAATAATTAATTTTAAATTAATTAACTACAAATTTTTTTAAAGTAAACAATTTGTGGGAAATAAAAGTATTTTTGAAAAGTATATGTTTTTTGTATTTTGTCTGAAAAAAAGTGTAAATTGAATGACGCCAATATACATTTTTTATAAAATTGGATTTTTTATTAAAGTTATAAAGCTAAAATGTTTGAAAAAATTTTTGAAGGGAAATAAGTTTGAAGAAATTATGAAGAAAATTAAAAAAAATAAGAAAAAGGGATTAAATATTTTTTGGGAGACTTTTCTTTTTTTTTAATTCTCATTTTCCTCATTTTTGTTAATTATTATCTTTTTTTCTTGATTATAAATTAAAATTAAAACCTATGTAATTGAAAAATTGGAGGGTTTTTATTTAAATATTTTAGCTTAGTTTTTTTTTCGAGTCCTTTGATTGATTTTTATTTTTTTATAATTTTATATACTCTGTATTAAATTATTTTTTACAAAACAGCAGCTTCATTATCTTTGCTTTCACCTCCTTCTGTTTGTATTACTTCTTCACAATCATCCTCAATTTCAGCTTCTTCTTTTCATCAATCTTCTTCTCAACATCAACAACAACAAAATCAAACAACAAAAATAAATTTATCAAAAAATATTATTCGTTCATCAACACAATCACCTCCAAATTCTACAAAAACAACAATTGCAAGACTTTCAACTGCTGGTGTTTCTCCTCTACGTCCGGTAACTTCTTTAATTTCTCCACCACCAACAAATAATGGAACTTTGACAAATAATAAGAAACGTCAACGAAATTTTTCTTCATCCTCGCCAAATATTAGACCTAAAAAGGTACAAAAACAACAAGAAAAATCTATTAAAATTGATGGAGGAAATAATAACTGTGAACAAACAACAACAAATCCTACAAATGAAATAAGAGCAAATTTAACTGCTGGGGGTAGTGGTGGTGGTCAACAACAAAAGACTCCTGCCGGTGAAGGGAAAAGTCCGCGTATATTGATTGAAGTAAGAAAATAAAATTCTTTATTAAAAGTTTATTATTTTTTCCAATTTTAAAAATAAATTAATTTTTTCCAGACACAATCTGTTCAACAACAAATACCTCCGGTTGTCAACCTTCCTAGTGCTACCTCTAAGGCGGAAACAACAACAACAATAACAACTAGCAGCAATACAAAAACTAACAACAAAAATACCTCTGAAAATAAAACTACAAAAACAAGAACATATAATCGGTCTAAACCAAATAAAAAGCAACAAGAACAACAACAACTTCAAACAGTATCTGAAACACAACAACAACCACCACCAGCACAACAATTTCAAACACCTCAGCAACAAATATTTTCCAATAATAATAATCATTTAAACAATTTTTCTGCTACTTTTCAAAATCAATTTGAAGCTTTTGTTGCTGCAAATACTACCCATCAACAACAGCAACAACAACAATATGCTCAAATAAGTTATATGCAAAATATGTTTCAACAATTTCAACAATATCAACAGCAACAACAAAATAGACAGCGAAATCAACAACAAATTCCTCAACAAACATATGAACAGCAACAACAATTTGCTTTATTCGCACAACAACAGCAGCAACAACAATTAAGTCCTCAACAGGTAGATTATTTAAAAAATATTCTTAAAAAATATTTTTTATTTTTTAGATTCGTGTAATGCAACAAATGTTGTGTGCTATGGGAATGATTGCAAGTGTTGGTGGTGGTGGTAGTGGAATTCCTCCTTTTTCTTCAGAACAACAGCAACAACAAATTTCTCTTCTTTCTCCTCCTCAACAACAAAATTTATTTCCAACAATTACAAACCACCAACAATTAAATGGGAATACACCAACAAAAAATAAAAAGGCAACAACAACAATTTCTCTTTCTAAACAAAAATTTAATTCGTCTAATGGGACAAAGGTATTTTTTTAATATTTAAATAAATTAATTTTTATGAAAAAAATTAGCAAAAAATCATTAAAAAATTAATTTTTAAAATTTTTTCTAGCAGCAACAACAACAAATTGTTCCATTAAATAATACATTTTCACAACAATCAACAACAACAACAATATTTGGAGAAAATAATTGTTCAAATCAATTGACGAATAATAATATTAAAAAAGTTTCAACAATTTCTAGTTGAGAATTTAAATTAAATTTTGTTTTTTTTGAATGTTAGTTGAGTCAAAAATTTTATTTTTGAACAAAAAATAATTTTATTAACTTATTTAAATTGTAACCAAGGAAAGACTCAACTTTAGAGACACTTTAAATGATTTAAAGTTTATTATAATTTAATGAATTTATACCTATATTTTTTTTCTCTTATAAATTTTATTTTTTTATAAAGTCTTTCAGATTTTGTCTATTTTAAAAATGTTTTTAATACACTTTTATTTTTATATTTTTTTCTTTTTTTTTTTAAATTAATTTTTTAGAAGATGCTTAATGTAAATTATTATTCTATTATATATTTTATTCATTTTTTCAATTATGCTTTTTTATTACAATTTTGGTATGCTTTTTATTTTTCTTAAAAATTTACAAATTTTTTTGATAAAAATCAAATAATTTATTGTTTAATTTATTTTTGACTAAGAGTGGGATTCGAACCTGTGACCTTTAATAACTGAAAACTGAGCATTTTCCAACTTAACCAAAGAAGTAAAAAGAAAAATTTTTTTCTGATCAGGCTGTTTTAGTTATAAATTCATAACTTTCTGATATCTTATCGTTTCTTATAAATCTTAAATCAATCGAGAGGTCTGAATGTCCCGAATCGTGTTTTTTCATACTTATCCGTCTATAATTGTCTGTAGGTTGGTTGAACTATGTCGATTCTGTTAGGAGAAATAATCTAGTACATATTTAGAGATTTCGATTGATACCAGATTCTGTGAAGTTTAAGGTTTGAAGAAAGTTAGGGATCTAAATATTACTAAGTATGTTAAGAATCTAGTCTGTCCTTTTTAGTAAATTTAGTGTTTAATGAAATATCCCCCAAATTTCAGAATTATAGCCCCTTAAACTTTTGGATTTTTAAATATATTTGCTTTTTAAAAATTTATTTTGTTAAAATATTAAATGATTCATTCAGTCTTTTTTTATTTTAATTTTTTTAGTTTTTTCTATACAAAAAAGGCTTTTGATGTTTTTATATGGCAAAATTAGAAGGCTAGATTATAATCATTTTCTAAAATGGTATTTTTCATTTTTAAATTTATTTTTAGTTTTTTAATTTAATTAAAAAATATTCAAAAACCAATTAAATTAAATTAATTTTTCTAGCATAAATGTGGCTTATTCTCTTGTGGATTTCAATTATCTCGGCTACTACAATTAATATATCTGAGAATGAAACGATGACCTACTTTGAAGTTGAGGGTAAAAGGATTATTTTTATTTTTTTAAAAAAGTTAGACCCTGTACCGAATTTTCCGTGGGCTGTTGGGTTAGCTCTAAAAACCCGGCCCGGGTCTGTTGAGGAAAAAACCCTGTATATGAAAAGCAACCCAGCAATTTGAAAATGTTCAACTCTATTTTTTGGTTAAAATATTTTTTCCTATTTTAATTTTAAAAAATCAAAAAGTACTCCTTTTTTTAATTTAAAATTTTTAGTAAATTCTACTACGCTGGAGTTTTATGAAAATGAAAATTCGACAACTACAACAATGCTATTTTTAAATAAAACAAACGGAACAGACGAGGGATTAAACGGAACAACAACATTAAATGAGGGAATAAATGGAACATCTAACGGAACTTTAGCCAAACCAACACTAAAAACAACTCCAAAACCAACACAACAATTAATAGAAAATAAACAACAAAATTCCCAATCTTTAAGATGTTTGGTAGGCACAAATCCTTTAAATAAAACAAATCGTCCTCCACCTATTGAACCCCTTTGGTGCAATGATACTGTGGAATATGAAAAGCGAAAATGTTTAAATATTGTTTGCTATACGGATACTTATGGATCTTGTGAGTTTTTAAATTTAGAGGAAATTATTTTTATTAAATATAGACTGAGAAAGAATTAAAGTAAATGTTTGGGTTGTAAGTTGCATTAGCTTACCTCTAAAGGCCATTTCAGATTAGCCGGTTAAGTCTCGAGGCTATATTTTTGGCCTTAACTTTTTTTATTCCTAGCAGATTTAAGTATCACTATATCAATAGAAAACTCTGGATGTGACGATTATTTTCTCCAATGAGACTGATAATGACTGATCAGTCCTTAAGAAGTTATCAACTGTTAAGTGCTAAAAACGCGATTCCCTATCGCCATAACTTTTAAATTATTAACCGATTCAAATAATTATTACATGAAAATAGAAAGCTGTGGTTTTCATATTATTTTATTTATCAGGATTGATTTGATCAGAGCATCCTAGCAAAAGTTATGGCCAATTAAGTGTGGGCAATTGTGTTTTTCGATCTCTATTTGGCTGTATCTTTTAATAAGATGCTCTAACCAAATTAATGCTTTTAGCTAAAAGAATCCACACATCCTGAGCTTTCGATTGACATATTAATTATTCTAATCGGTTAGGAATCAAGAAAAGTTATGGCCCAATAATCAGTACAAACACTAATAGGACTCCTTTATAAAATTTATCAAAAAAATATTTTTAAGTTGTTTGGAAGTCTTGTGGAACTTGTGCAGGAGTTAGAGATGTTTGGGGAATGAGTCCAAGTTTTTACAAACATTCCTGTAAATGCTACGAATGTGATAATGAAGATTTGTGTAATTCAAGTTTATGGAATTTTGGAAAAATTTCTTTAATTTATTTTAGTAAAGGTAAAAAAGAAAGAAAATTTATTTAAAAAATTATTTTTTTTATTTTTTAGTTTTTCTTCCTTTAATTGTGGCTTTTATGCTTTCAAATATTTGAAATTGGAAAAAGAAGAAATTTAAATTTTAATTAAATTTTTTTTATCATTTTAAAATTTTTATTTGTCTAATAAATATTTAAATTTTATTGCATTTTTGTACCATTGGATCGTTTGTCCAATTTTATTTCTTATTTTTATTCATTTTCAATTTTTTGGCCTTTTGTCCAGTTTTCCCCAAATAACATTTTGTCCGTTTCTTATTTTTGGCCTTTTGTCGATTCCCTATTTTGGGCATTTTGTCCAATTTTACCACTATCGATATTCTGTCCATATTTTACCTTAGCGATATTTTGTACAATTTCCCCTTATCGATATTTTGTCTACTTTTCCCATATAGGCATTTTGTCTAGTTTTCCCCTTATAGGCATTTTATCATTCCCTTGTTGGCAATTTGTCATTTTTAATCCTTATGGGCGTTTTTTTTGTTTTTCCCTGTTATATATTTTGACTTTTTGGTATTCTTTACAATTCTTTTATTCTCTAAAGCATGGTGCATGAACTAGAGATGTTTAAAATGAGAGAGTGTTGCAAAATGAGAGAGTTTCCATCTTTTAACAAATTAGACAGTTTTTTTTTATTTTTTCCTTGTTTTTGGTTACCTTTTCTTCTTTAATTTGTTATAATCAATAAATTTTTAGTTAAATTTAATCTATAAATTAAATAAAAAATGACTACAACAACAACGACAACACAAGCTTCTTCATCGTCAACTCCAATTAGCGAAAAAGAACAACAAAAAATAATTGATGGTTATCAAAAATTGAGAGATCAACAACAAAATGTAATGAATGAATTGGCAAAATTGCGAGTTGAACATCGGGAACACGCGTATATTTTTGAATTTTTAGGCAATTTTATTAATCAAGAAAACTTTTAGAACAGTTCTGAAGACTATGCAAACATTGGAACCGGAAAGGAAATGTTTCCGGCAAGTTGGCGACACCTTAATTGAATTTAAAGCATCTGAACTGGTCATCATTTTGGCCGAGACGATGAAAAAGGTTTTTTATTTTAACTTTGGGGTAGGAATTTGTGTTCTTTTTAGTTAGCTAGATGTTTTCTGTAAAGTATAACCCAAGTTAAAATGCGCAACTTTTAAGAGTTGTCTTTGGCTAAGTTGGTAGTGTACTGGTTGACTATTACAGTCGACGAAGGTTCGATTCCTTCCTGGGTCATTGTTTTTATTTTTAGATATATTTTCTTCATAAACGGTTCGATACCCTCTACAAGCATTTTTGGAACAATCGGAATGATTTTTTGATCAAAACGGAACAAACCTCTCTAAAATTCGGGGGAAAATGGTAAATACTCGCTAAGTCTTTGCCTGGCGTGTAACAATTTCGGGTCTTTTTTCTTTCCACGATGGGATAATCAATTCTCCTTTTCTCTGAAGGATTTCCATACTTGGGGAGACAACATATCAGGCATTTAAACAATCTTTTCAGTTTAAAGAACGTATGGACGAGCTTGAACAACAGATGGTCAAACACGGACAAGAATTGAATGCCTACAAAGACAAACACAATATTCGATTGCTGAGCAACAAAGAGGCAATGGAATTACAAAAGAAGCAGGCATTGGCGCAAATATCAAAATTGGATTTGGGGACGAAGGAGACGAAAACATAGTTTTTTAAAATAGTTTCTTGTTTAATCGAATACAATCGAACTAACAGACGTTTTATAAACAATAAGACTCATTAAAGAAATAAAAAAAAGACTCCGTGTTCGACTGTATCTAGTTTTGCTTGTTTTTAGCCAAATTTTATGTTTGAATAAATATAAATACTCGTAAATTTTTGTTGTACAGTTCGAGAATTTAAAATTTAATTCTATAAAAGATAACGGTTTAAAAAATCGATATATTGATTTTATCGATTTTTTGAGAATTTTTGAAATAAATTATCGATTAGTATTGATTTTATCGATTAGTATCGATTTTTTGAAAAGTTAGAATTTTTAAAAAATAAATTATCGATTAGTATCGATTTTTTGAAAAGTTAGAATTTTTAAAAAATAAATTATCGATTAGTAACGATTTTATCGATTAGTATCGATTTTTTGAAAAGTTAGAATTTTCGAAAAATAAATTATCGATTAGTATCGATTTTATCGATTAGTATCGATTTTTTGAAAAGTTAGAATTTTTAAAAAATAAATTATCGATTAGTATCGATTTTATCGATTTTTTGAAAAGTTAGAATTTTTGAAAAATAAATTATCGATTAGTATTGATTTTATCGATTAGTATCGATTTTTTGAAAAGTTAGAATTTTTAAAAAATAAATTATCGATTAGTATTGATTTTATCGATTGATATCGATTTTTTGAAAATTAGCCAGTCTGCTCGTACTCAACTGTCCTCAATGACGTTTTTATTTTTTTCTCTAACTATACTATTTCTTCTTTATCATTTCTCTAATTCTGGGGACGTCATTTAGTAATTTGTTTTTATGTTTCACGCCAAATTTAAGCGAAATTTCAAATCCAAATTGGAAAATCTTCCCGTTTAAAAATCCAACAAAAATTTTATATTAAATTTATATAACTAATTTATTCAAACAAAGAAAAATACATGGCACAAGTCTTATTTAATACTATACAGATTAAAAAGGACATAAAATCTTGGAATAATTCAAATGAAAAAGAATTCTGTTAGACACATCCTTTTTAATACCAAAAATTTTAATTATATACAATTAGCACCAAAAAATAAAATATAAAAAAAGAATTAAAGATAAAGCCGAAAAAGATTTTTTGATTAAAAAATATGTATATACATAAAAGTATTGTGTACCTAAAAATTATTTTTTTGTAGACGTGGAGTGTTTTAAAAATTCTTTCAAAAAATATTTTAAGTCAAACCTTTATTTTTTAATTATAAGATTTTGACCAAGTATGTCTGATTGTGAGCTAGGATTTTTCCTGGACTCTTGGTCTGGGTGTTCTGATTTTCCCAATTTTTTCTTAAAGTACTTGGGGACCAAAAATATCTTTTAAAATTTAAAGATTTGACTTAAAAACTCTTTTATTTTTGTCTATCAAATATATGGGATTACAAAATAATTAAAGAAGGGAGCAAGAAAAGAATATAGAGAACCCGTTTTCGGGGAATTTATAAGAAAAACTTAATCCCTCAAAATCGTTTTATCATTAATTACAGAAGTAACTAAACCTTGCTTTTCTAATATTCGAAGACGTTTTTCTACTGCATTCTTATATTTTTGCAAAATTGCTTTGTCCTGTTCATCTTGAACCTTTAAAGAAATTTTTTAATTTCAAAAAAATTTAAAAAAATTAAAGAAACCGTATATAACAATGTGTGTAACATCATATAAGCCATTTGGTAACGTTTTGGGCAAAGCTGTGGTTTACCAAAAAGTTCATCCAAAGCAGCAGATTGACATAATTCAATTGCGTGTTGATACATTAAACCTTTAAAATAACAGAGGTTTTGAAAAAGAGGATTTTAAATGGAGATCGAGAATGTTAAAAGTCTAGAGGCTGAACTAATTTTTGAATTCATCGACTTGAGCCATGAAACTACAACCGGGAATACAAGAAAAATTGAGGAAGTTTAAAAAAACACCAAGCCAAAGACAGGAAAAACCTTGTCACAGACCCAGATCAAATCGACATTTAAAGAATTCTTTAAAGAACTAACGTTCGGCAGAAACAACCATCATTTGCGGATCTTGTCCAGGAATACCATGTGAAGCAAGCATTTGAGACCTTGTCAGACACTTTTAAAATACAAAAATGAATTAAAAAAGGATTTAAAAAATACATGATGATATTTTTCGTTCAATTGATTCAAAACATTTTGAACTGCAGGTGATGGATGTAGTTTTTCTGCATTTACTAAAAAATTATTAAAATTAATCTGAAAAAATTGGAAATACAAACTTTGTTTTTGTGAAAAAACCAAAGCAGATGAAAGTATATGTAATGCACGAATGTACAAAACTAATTGTTCAGCACGACGATATGCATCAGAAGAAGGTTGTCTCTTAAAAATAATTTTTTAAAATTAAAAAGAGAACGAGCTGAGTCTTGTTTTGTGACTAGATTTGCCAAAACTTGATCATGAGGTTTATATTGGGGCCTGGGGTTTTGTTGAAATAAGCCCACTAAATCATGCATCCAAAAAAGAAGTTGAGTTCAGAAAAGATCTCCTTAAAAATCTGGCCTATTGTCTTTGGAGTTTTTTGGGTCTAGTATTTTTCTGAAGAAAGGTCAAGGAAATCTAGCATTTGAAAAATACCCTAACCCTCTAGAAAAAAAAAGAAAAAAAATCTTTACCGATCTATGTTTACTACTTTCCATAGCAATAGCAATTGGATTAGATTTATTTTCAGCAACAGAACATATTGTTTCAATCAATTCTAATACAAAACGTAATTTTGCCAATGTTTGATTATGACATTCATCCAAAATTGTTTCTTGTTCTAATTCTGGTGGTGGTGGGGGTTCTAAAGTATCATCTTCTTCATCCTCTTCTTGATGATTTTTGGTTATTGTTTTGTTTAAATTAAATGATGAAGATGTTGAAGGTTTAATTTTATTGGCCATTTTATTATCTTCTTCTTCTTCATCATCATCAATCATTGTTGATTCGTCTAAAATTAAATAGTGACTTATCTAAAATCAAAACAAACCCATAAATTCTTCTGTTGTAGTAAAAGGTAATTGAACTTGATCACGAATATATTCATCATCTTCCTCTTCTTCTTCCTCCTCCTCTTCATCTTCGCTAAAAAAATGAAAAATTTTTAGGAGGTAAGAAACACCTAAACCTCAGTACCTAGAACCTATTTTTGGACCAAAACTTTTTAAATTTTTAACCGATTTGAATCAAATAAAGATCGAAAACTTTAGATATGCGGAGTATTCTTCCAAAAAGGATTGATCAGATCAATGCAAGAAAAGTTACAGACAATGTGAGCAGATCATGCTTGTCAAAAACAGGGATTCTCACACATTCAGAGCTTTCAATCGAGATTAGAATTATTTAAATCAGTTAAAAAATTTAAAAAGTTGTGGCCAAAAAAGCCCATCCCCGTTCTAATTTTATTTATTTACGCTTATTAAAACTATCAAACCTTTCAGACATTTTTCCAACATTAACAACCTTCATGCATGCTTTAACTTTAATTGGTGGAGGAATTGGAGATTTATTTGGATTTTTTAAATTATTATTTTGTAAATTTTGTTGTTGATTATTTAAAGGTGTTGTGGTTGTTAAAGGTAAAGTATTTGTTGTTGCTGATTTTGGAATTGAACAAGGAGAATTTATTGTTGTATTTATTTGGTTGTTGTTGTCTTGCAAAATTTCATTAGTTGTGTTATTTCGTCGAAATTTTGAAGTTTCTATTGATGAAGGTTTTGGTGTTGATGTTGGGGTTTGTTGCTGTTGTTGATTGTAAACGATAAAACGAGCTGAAATTTTTTTGTTACTAATAATAATTGATAGTTCAAAACCTCCAAAAAACAAAAGATTCCCAAAAAAATTATCGAAAACAAACTTTGTGGAATTTCAATTTTCTCAACAGAAGGAATTCTTGTAATTTTTTGTTCCTTCAATTCAGCCATTTTTTCTCCTCTATTAAATAAACCATTTTCATTTTTAATATTTTTCAATTGTTGTTGATCTGTTATTGTTGTTTGATTATTATACAAATTGTTGTTGTTGTTAATATTTTTGCCATTTTTTCTTTCCTCAATTTTTGCAAAAGCATTTCTTTGGTTAGGTACAGGAACAGCACGAACATTTGATGAAATTTTTGGACGTATATTTGTTGTGCTTACCTTAAAAATAAATTATAAAAGATAAAGAGCTTAAACTATTTCGATATTTATTCATTTCCGGGTCGAAGAACCCAAGAGAATTTCTAAAAGTTCAAAAAAATATCTGACAAGTATGGATTTGGGTACCAGAGAACCCAAAAGTTCTGACTTCAAAGGGAGTCCAAATTAAAAATATTTGTAAAAAAATACTTGAACTTGTTTAACAGGATTATCAGAAGAACAAGTAGAAGACCCTCCAGAATGTTGAAGATTTTGATGAGACTGGCGAGTTTCTTGCAATGGAGGTAAAAATGTAAATTCGCCAGACTCATTTAGTTGTTGATGAGCTGAAAAAATATAAAAATTTTAAATAAAAATATTTAAAAAAATACTAGTTTTTGTTTGTAAATATCCTTGTTTGTCTTGAGGAGGAGGAATTTGTTTACGTATTGATGTGTTTGGCTGAAAAGTAGTAGTTTTTGTGATTGTTGTAGTTGTTTGTGGCTAAAAAATTTTTTTAAAATAAAATCGGAAATTATAAATTAGATCGGCCCAGAACCACGAAGTTGCCAGATTTTTTAGCAAGTGAAAGCGAGGCAAAGGAACAAGACCAAGGTTTTTTTAAATAGAGATTAGCCCTGATTTCGATTCAGAAACAAGAAAGACAAGGCGGAGGATCAAGGTTTTAAAACATTTCCTATTCCCATTACTGCCAATTTACTATTTAAAAAATACCAAATGTCTGTCTGTAGAAGGAATTATTCGTTGCTTCATTCCTGTAAAATAACCACCTCCTTGCTGCTGTTGTTGGCCTACTACAATTTTTCCTGTTGACTTTGGATGATGAACAGGAGAGGAATTAATTTCAGAAGATAATTGCCTAGAAATATGTCGAGATGGAGAACCTCCACAATCAATATTAATTTCTTTTACAAAAAATGGATGAGTAAAAAATGCATCTGAAAAAAATTAAAAAGAATTGTTAAATGAAAAATTTCAAACAAACCAAATTCCATTCTATCACTAGGATTTCTTTTTAATAAACCCAAGAGTAAATTAGCCAAAAGAGGAGAACAAAAGTCAGGAATATTTGGTCTCAAATCTGTATGTCGCACATAATAATTTTTTAATGCTTGAGGTGTTTGTGCCTAAAATTATGGAATGTTGAGTTAAAATAAAATGCTGTTAAGAAACAAAATTTGAATAATGAATTGGAATATTATTTCAGTAACCAGTAAAGATAAGTGTAAGTAGGCCGAAAAACCTCCAAAAACATCTTTGAGAAAAAGAAAATTTCTAGGTAGGGTCTAAATACTTAAAGGACCTAAACAGAGAAGGTTTGTTAGTTTCATATCCCCTAAATTAAAAGTTACAAAAACAAACCAAAAAAGGAGCCTTTCCAGTTAGACATTGATAAATAATCGTTCCAATAGACCACAAATCAGCCTTAGCTCCATATTGCTGTGACATTATAACTTCTGGTGCCATATACATTGGAGAACCACAAAGAGTTCCAGCCATAATACCTTCAGGCAAAGAACGAGCAAAACCAAAATCCGCCAATTTAACAATCAATTGAGTAGGTTGTGGTTTGTTTGGATGTCGAGGATTGCATAACAAAATATTTTGAGGCTTCAAGTCTCTATGTACAATTGCCTTTTTGTTTAGAGCTTCCAATGCTTTTGCTAAAAAAAAGTTTAAAAAATAAATATAGTATTTTCTCTAAATTAATGCTCAGAGATTCATTTCTCAACCATAACCAACAGGGCATTCTATCAGAGGACATTAAACTAGGTGAAGCAAATTATTTTGAGAATATTTTTCAGGGGGTCTTTTGTTGAAGGAGGTATTCAAATATAGAGGGCCTATTAGAAGAAATAATTTTCTTTTAAAAATTTTCAAAAAAACCTATTTGAGAGAAAAAATGTTGAATAGTCAATTCATTTATTGTTTGTTTCCCAAATAGATATTCAGCCAAATCTCCATGATTGCAATATTCCATAACCAAATAAACATGTGTTGGAGTCTCCACACATCGTAAAAGTGACACTAAATTTTCATGTTGAAGACCTTTCAATTCTTGCAGTATTTTTATTTCTTTTGTGAGCAAATTCTTCGCTTTGGACAAGTTCTTCTTTGCAATTGCTTTTATTGCTACTTCTTTGTTTGTCTAAAATGATTAAAAAATTTAATTTAAAAAATCAATAAAGGTCAAAAATAAAAAAATATGAAAAAAATGAAGAAAAACTATAAGGAAAATACGCTAAAAATAAATAGGCTAAGAAAGGGTTCGAACCATCTACCTATGGATAATGGTAGCCAAACACACTACCACTAAGCCATTGGAAGGGTTAAATCGATAACATTTTAAATCGCTATAAACTTTAGCAAAAAGTGATTATCTTACAGCTTATCCATATTTAGAGCCATAGACGACCATAACCCCCACTAAATCTATACAGAACCTCTACCAAAAAAACAAACAGAAAAACCCCAAAATTTTGAATAACTCTAATTTCCCTAGAAAAAAATAAAGAAAAACTAACCTCTTTATGTCTGCCTTTATAAACCACCGCAAAAGCTCCATGTCCAATCACTTCTCCACCATAACAAAATCCATCAACTTCTTCCATTTTATTCAAATTTTTATTATTTTTAGAATTATTTAACATATAAGAAAAATAAAAAAATTAACTGAAAAAAAAAGAAAAAAATTTAGTTCAGGAAATAAATTATTAAACTTAAAAACATACTTTATAAATAAACTCAATTTTCTTAAAAAGAAGACAGAAACATATTCTCAAAGAAATTACTAGTAGAGAAGTAAATATCCCTTGGGACAACAATCAATAGGAGCGAAGTAAAGTTATAAGAAGGAAAAGCCGCAAAACACTCTTTCTTTTTAAAAAAAAGGATTGCTTACATAACAAATAAATAGATATATATTTATAATATCCAGATTATATTACTCTTTTTAACTAAATGATGAAGAAAAAAAAGTAAAAATATTAATTCAAAAGGATATTTGATATAGACAAGTGCAAATTGATTCTCAAAACTCAACTAAAAGTAAAAGAAACAGATAAAAGTTGTATAGAAATATTCTGTTATATTTCTCTAATTAGTATTGATTATGTGTCTAACATTTAACTAAAAACATTGCATAACATTATATTTTACATTTCTTTTTCTCTGTATTGCATGAAAAAAATGGGACAAAATGTGACGTCTTTTCAATTAATTATATACGAAATATCAAAAATACAAAATGTCCATAAAGAAAAAATAATTAAAATTGTCATCAAAGGAGTCGACAAAATGCCGATAAGTTAAGATTGGACAAAACATACAAAAGGAATAAAATACGACGAAATGCCCACAAGAAAAAAAGACAGAACGTCGATAAGGATAAAACGAGACAAAACGTCGTTAAGGTGAAAAACGAGACAAAATGTCGTTAAGGGGTAAAACGAGACATAAAGGAACAATTAAAATTTTTTCAAGAATTTAAGGAAACTAAAAAAGAAAATTTAGAAATTTAAGACTTCTAGCGCATTAGAAAGAATTAAAAATAAAAAAATAAGAATACATTTTCTCCCTCAGCATAAATAAAGGAAAAATATATATTATGTAAAAACAATGCCTTAGCAAATATATTTTCGCTTTAAAGCTCTGCCAGTCGAGAAGAAAAATATAAAAATAAATACAAATATAAAAATTCTTCCAACTAGAAAAATTAAAAAACATTGATTTTTCTGCATCTTCCAAAAATGCTTTTTTGGAAAATAAATTTAAAAAGCGAGAGTGAATCTTCTTAAAAATAAAAAAATATTTTTTAGAGAATTTTTGCAAATAACGGCAAGCTTTAAAAAATATTTTTGTATGAATAATAAATAAAAAAATATATAATTTCAGTCAAAAACTGACAAAAATTAAAATAATTGTACTGATAAAAAATAGAAATTAAATTAATTTATTGGAAGAAAATTTTTTTAACAAACAAAAAAAAGAATAAAATAAATGTACGTAAATAAAAAAAATGCAGGAAATGTTGTCATCTGAACACACAAAAAATTTAATTTTTATTTTCAATTCTTATCTAAAAAGGGGGAGTGTGCCCTATAATATTTTTTGGTGGATGTTTTTAACACAGATTAAAATTTTATTTTTTAAATTAAAATAAAAAAAATTTTTTTAACCAAAAAATCCCCAAAAATAAGTCAAAAACTCAGAAAAATAATCAAAAAATATTTTTTTCTACGGCGCAAACTCCCCCCCCCCCCATTTTTCATTCTCGTTTTATTATTATTGCCAAAAACGGATTATAAAATATTATAAAATATCAAATTTCCTCCTTTCTTCTGGTATTATTGTTGATCTCCTCTTTTACATAAAAGTATAACACAAATAATAATAGCCATCAATTCAATAAAGATTAATATTGTTAAAAATATTCCAATTGAAAGAAAAATTAAATTAAAATATTTTGACAAAAGTTGGTGACATGATGGCTTTAAAAATTAATTTTTATTTTATTAAAAAATAAAATATTTACTTGTCCAAATTCAATACATCTATAATTATATGTTGCTGTAATATCATCATCTCCACAACAAGAAAACTATTTTTTTTAAATAAAAATTAATTTTAGTAGACTTAAAAATTTTTTCTAATTTTTAAGATAATTTTTAGAACTAAAAAAAATTTTTTAGAAATAAAAATACCCTTTCTTGTATCACAACAGCATCCTGCAAGCTAAATTTAAATTAATCTCTCTTTAAATAAATTTAAAAAAATACTTGTATTTTAAAGAAGTTGAAAGATAGCCAGATAGAAGAGTATAAATCTAAAAATATTCAAAGATTAAATTTAAAAAATTTTTAAAGTTAAAAATTAAAAAACGAAGGAAAACAAGTTAAAAAACAACATTCGGAAAATAATTACCAACGGATGTGTTCGAACCTCAGCAGAAAATTAAATGGAGTCAACATCTCTACCAACTACACCACACTCATAATTATCATACACACATTTAATTTAAGCCACAAACCTAGTAATAAACTTATCTAAATTAAAAATCTAAAACGAGGCCCACAAACTTAATAATTTTTTAAAATACAAAAACTAACTTTATCTTTAAATATCATAACTAAAAATAAAGCTGATACTTGTACAAATATAAGCAATATTAACAACATACAAAGTAACCCATTAAAAGGCTTATTTTTGGTGCAAATAGACAAAATTCCAAATAACCCAGCCAAAATAAGAATTATTCCAAAAATTAAAAAAATCCAAAAAAGAGCAAAATACTTGTTAAAAAATTTAAAAAATTATTTAAAAAATAGAAAAATAATATTCCAAACTGTTTGTCGAAAAATTAATTTTGTATCAATTAATTCTGGAGGGGCCATTGACGGGTCAGAAAATATTAAAATTTGTCTCAATTTTAATTCAAAAATTTCATCAAAACGAAGCCAGGAAATAAAACTAACAATTAAAATACCAATAAAAAGTAATATTAAACTAATTAATTTTAATATTTTTTTGGGAGAAATTGGAGCAATATGAAGAAGACATTTCTTTGGAAAAATATTTTTTGAATTTTTTTGGAATTTTTAAATTGGAAAAAAAATTAATTTTTAGTAAAATAAATAAATTCAGACAGAAAAATGCTTTAAAAATAAATATAAATATTTTTAAAAATAAATTTTTAATATTTTTTGAGGAGGAAACACAGTCGTTGCCTTTAGCAATCTCGCCAACATTTCCGGCTTAATTTTACACAAGTTTGGCAATTAATAAATTTATTTTTATATTTTTACAAAAGAGGAAAGAGAGCTTATATGGATTAATTTTTAATATTTTATTATTTAATTGATAAATTGTTCAGAAAAATTTTTTTTTATTTTATTGCAGTAAAGTGAGGTAAAGTAACGCCCCAAGCAGATTCAGGCACTTTTTGACAATTATTCATAGGCGCTTTTTTTCGTTCACCAGGTAAAATGCTGTTGCTCTACTAACTGATCTATCGAGGACCTGATTGCTTGCATTCACCTTCTCTATTTGAATTAATCTTAAATTCCCCAATCTAGCTAGTTCACCTTCCTTACAATCTTTATATTTAACATATCCTTATTTAACAAGATTTATTTCATTTCTTGAACTATTAAAATAACAAAAGAATTTGCTGTAAATTCATAAAACACCTCGATTCTATTTTGCCATAAAATTCCTTTTTATTTTTCTAAGGAATTCTTTTATTTGAGAGAAAGGTTAAATCCAATTTGTTTATATCCCCAATGTCAATTTACATTTAAATCTCTTCTCTTCTTCATTAAACGGAAAAGGAAAAGCACAAAACTTTTAGCTAATTTACTTTTTTTTGTTTTTTATTTATGTAAATATCGTGATTTTCTTTTTAAAGTTAATTTATTTTTGCTTATTTTTTTTAAATAAATAAATATTTACTTCTTTTTAAAGTATTTTTTCCTTTTGTTTTTATTTTTTTTTCAATTCTTTTCCTCCTTTCTCGGTTTTCTTTTAAATTCCCAAGAGTTTAAAAAATAATGAAAAATGGGGAAGAAGAAAAGTTAATTCTCCAAAAATAATTTATATTTTATTTTATTGTTTATAGAACAATATAAATTAAAGAAATTTTTCAAGGACCACAAACCCCAATATTAAAATTCGAATTCGAAAAGCATTGCTTAAAAAATAGGCAAGTAAATCCCGAATTTTCCCAAGGCGTTACTTAAAGATCTCTAATTATTTATTTTATTTATTACAAAAAACTACTATAAATTAAAGAAAATTTTTTTTTGAAATTTTAATCTTTCCATTAATATACATATTATTTAACAACCTTATACTTAAGAAAAAAAAATTTTTTATTAAAAAAATTTCTGCAACTTTTAATATTAATTTAATATTTCTTTAATTTTCCACCCTAAGGATTATCCCCCTCCTCCCCCTTTTTTATATTTTTTATTTAATTCACTAGCCTTTTCTTTTCATTTTTTCTTTGCTTATATCTCACGAAATTTCTACATAACAAGACCAATTTCTTTCCCTCCCAATTTCTTTGCATTTTTTAGCAATTTAATTATTTCTTTGGCAAAAAAATATTGGGGGGTTTTATTCCCAAATTTAGCTTTATTTTATCCCAATAATTGTATTAGTATTTCCCCTTATTTATAGACGAAAGAGTAACAATAAAAAATTGAAGGTGGGGGGATTAACCAACAAGGAGTGCCAAAAAAACTTTTGAAACTTTGAACAGATTATTAAAATAAATTTAAAAAAATTTTTTAAGAAGGAATTGTAGAAATATAAACTTAAAATAGGGTTGGTCCTCTTTGGGAGAACAATCTAAGAGAACGGGGATATAGGGGAATAGCCTAAAAACCATCGTCGGGCGGGGATAATCAACTCTAATTTATTTTTTATTTTTGGGGCTATCCCTAGACTGTCCCTAATTTATTATTTTTTTTATCTTTTTGGATTAGGGGGGAAACCCAAATTTAATAGTACAGAAAAATTCTAAATTGCAAAAACAATTTTAAGTTGCCATAATATAATTTTAAGTTCACCAACACTTTAATAATATTTTTTATTATTAAATAAAATTTTTTTCAATTCCCCAACCTATTTACATGTTTCAATTCCCCAAAACCTAATAAAAGGTCTCAATTTATATATCTCTATCATATTTTCCCTTAAAAATGACATCACCATTATTATATCTTCTTCGGTTGTCAATCCAAGTAAAAGTGTCTTCTTCCCTTTAAAAAAGCAAATGCGTGCTTTATGTACATCTTCATTCTCCTCCCTTCCCCTTTATTCAAATTACATATTAAAAAAATAAAATCTATTTTTTTCCATTAGGTATTCCTTCGTAAAAAACAGAAAAAAGGATGCCTTTATATATCCATTAGCCTTTCCTCTCTCAACACACACACATTTTTTCCTTCTCAATTTTTCTCATAAAGCTAGAAAATTATCTTTTACTGTTTCTTTTAAATAATTAAAAATCTTTTAAATATTTAATTAAAATGTTGACTCTCTTATTTTATTTTCTAAATAAATACTCCTTTAATGCTTAATATAAAACAAGCTGGTTACCGTGTTCAACAGAGAGGGTTAAAAAAACGGAAGCTGAAGGTGGATGCGGATGACAGACCATCTCTGCTGTCCGAAAACCTTTCTTAAGATTATTTTATAAATTTGCTTACTACTCCTTTAATGCTTAATAAACAAGCTGGTTACCTTACTCTAAATGACGTGGTGAATTTATTTAAATTTTGAATATTTAGGCTAAATATATAAACAAACAAACTCAAAAAATGGATAAAAAATAGAAATCCACCTCCCTATTTACCACTTTTATTTTCATTTTATTATTATTGCTATTGAATGGATGTGTGTAATTTTACCTTTCACCTTTGTTTCACCTTATACCCGCACTTTTCTCTCACACACAAGCATAAAATATATTTTTATGTATTGCTTCTAGTGCCGCTTATAACAATAAAATTTTTATTATTCTAACAATTGTTTGGCACAAAAAATTCTTTTTTTTATTTCCCTAAACCTTTCTTAACCTCTCCTATTTTCTGACCCTCCACAACTTTTCCTGAACCTTTTCCTTTCCAATTTTTCCGAACTTTCCCAATTTTTTCCTAAACCCTTCCAAGGATTTTACAATTATCCACCTTCCAGGTTTTTATGTTCCCCTCCTCTCATTTTATTTTCCTCTATTAACTAAACATTTTAAAGCTCTATTTAATTTGCGCAAAAGCTCTAAACAATAAGAAAAAAGCAAAAAATAAAAGGATCACGTTCCAAGATTTTTTTATCCCATTTCCTCTCCCATTCCTTTTCATAAAATAAAAAACTTTATCCCGTTTATAAAATTATTTCTCTCTCAAAAAATTTTTCTCTGTTAAAATTCAACTAAAAAAAATTAATTTTCAATGTCCGTTCGTAAAAAAATACCCCCAAAACCAACCACAAAACAATTAAAACAATTAAAATCTTCATTATCAGTTTCATCCTTTAATCGCTTAAAATCATTTTCTGGACGTCCCCCTCTTTACAGAATTAAAACTATGGAGAATTTTGAACAACTTTATGAAACAACTGCAGGCATTCCTGGGATGAATTCATCCCCTTTAAGAGGAGGGGATTGGGCAGATTCGCCTGGACCTGCTGATGGAATTAGGCGACAAGAACTTTGTTCGAGGGTTATGCTGACTATTACAGCAAAGTTTCTAGTTTAAATTTAACATAAGAAAAAAATTATTTTTAAAGAGAACTCCGAGATTTGGACCCAGATGAATGTATTGACCCTTATTGTCGAGTTAGTGTGTGTGATTCTTCCAGTGCTCCGAATAGACAATGGGAATTTCTTGGACAGACTGAAGTTGTTGGAAATACAGACTGTCCAGAATGGAGTACAAAAATATGTTTAACCTATTTTTTTGAAGAACAGCAGAGACTTCACTTTGAAGTTTTCGACAAAAACAAAGAAGGCCTAAACCCCGCTGGCCGGCTTTACCCTAAACGTATAGGACAATGCTCAATCCTATTACACGAACTTGTTAGTGCTAATATGAATAGGCTTTCAAAGAATTTGATGTAAGAAAAATTAATTTTTTTTAGTTAAAAAATTAAATTTCGAAAAAATTTAACCCCCCCTCTCCCCTTATAAAAAAATTTTTTAATCAAAAAAATTAAATTTAAAAATTAAAAAAAATAAATTTAAGCCCTCCATTATGTTCCATAAATAGAATTTTTAAATGGTTCTATAAAATATTTTATTATAAAAGAATTTTTTCTAAAGAATTAAATTATGGAGGTATTCAAAATTGTGTATTAAAGCTATACAAAAAAATAAGAAATTAGTGTTTAAATAAAAAATTAAAAAACATAAAATAAAAATTAAGAATGGATCAAAGATTAAATTTAAAATAAATATAACTTCCGCCTTTTTTAAAAATTAAAAAATTTAAAAAACCTTTTAAAAAGTCCCCAATTAATCAAAAACCCCTTAAAATAAATATTTAAAAATAATCAGAATTTAAAGGGAAGAAGGAGAATTCGCCGGAATATTAACTGTAGTAGCCGAAGAATTAAGTGAAGGAAGGCAAGAATCTGTCTATTTTGTTGTTAGCGGTCACAACTTGGACAGAAAAGATTTTTTGGGAAAGTGCGACCCTTTTTTGAAGATTAGCCGAATTAATTTTGATAACACGTTTGTCCAAGAAAATTTTTTTGGAAGTCAATAAAATTTTTCTTTAGGCTTCAATTAGCCTTCAGAACAAGGTATCATGAACAAAATTTAAATCCAAAATGGAAACCTTTTGAAATATTAACTCAACAATTATGTTACGGAGACAAAGACAGACCTTTCCTTATTGAGTGTTTCGACTGGGATCAGGACGGAAATCATGATTTGGTTGGCGCTTGTCAAACTACAGTGAATAGACTGCTTTGTGGACTAGACAAGGAATTACCCGTAATATTTTTTAATATTAAACAGGGCTGATTTGAAACAAAAAGATCCTCGAAAATCAAAATTTCGAAACAGCTCTTCCGATCTTAACAAATCTTTAAAGTTAAAAGAAAATTTTAAAAATTTTTTAGTTGATCAACGAAAAGAAACTTAAAAAACACAAAAAATATGTAGATTCTGGACAAGTACAATTTCACAGAATACATTTATGGAATGATTATACTTTCTTAGATTTTATTCGAGGAGGGTGAGTTTAACCAATTCCCTAGAACTTTCAAAAATAAGTTTTGATTTTAGAACCGAGCTAGATTTTACTGTGTCGGTAGACTTTACAAAATCAAATTTGCCTATGCAGGATCACTCATCTCTCCATCGCCGCGATCGTATGAATCAATACGAATTGGCAATTGGCGCAATTTTAGAAATTTGTCAGCATTATAGTAGAAGCAAAGTAATAAAAACAATTTTAGCAGTAGAAGCAATTTTAATTTTCTAGTTATTTAATGCATACGGGTTTGGCGCTAGAATACCTTCAGTGGATGATAAAGTCCACTACAATTTTCCCTTGGTAAATTCTACCAAAAAATTATTTTTAAAAATTTTTTAAGAATTTGGATACGAATGACCCTCGTTGCAAAGGGTAAAAGTGTTAAAAAGTTTGTAAAAAAATTAAAATTCTATTTAAAGCGTGGATGGCGTTCTCGAAGCCTACAGTATTGCCCAGTCCAAAGTTGAATTAAGGTTTTACATCCTCAAAATAATTTTTAATTTTTCTAAAAATTAAAGTGGCCCAACCGATTTTACCCCAACAATTCGCTTAGCAGCAAGAAGGGCAGCTTCTCTGCCTGAAAATGGCTGCAAATATTGTGTGCTATTAATAATTACAGATGGAGCTATTACTGATTTTGAACAAACTAAAGAGGAAATTATTAAAGTAATTTTTAAAAATAGAAATTTTTTAAAATTTTCTTAGGCCTCCTCATTGCCTTTATCAATAATTGTAGTTGGTGTTGGTTATGATACTTTTGATGAAATGAAAGTTTTAGACTCTGACAATAGACTTTTATGTTCACACAAAAAATATGCAAAAAGGGACATTGTTCAAGTGAATAAATTTAAAAAATCCAAAAAAATATTTCAAAAAAATTTTCAAAGAATTTCTAAAAAATCTCAAAATTCTTCTAGAATTTTCAAAAATTTATTTCCCCTTCAGTTCGTTCAAATCCGCAAATTTTTGCCACCTCACCGGACTATGACTGAATTAGAATTAGCACAAGCTAAGGCTAAACTAGCCAAGGAAGTGCTATTTGAAGTTCCTGGACAATTAATTGGATACATGAAGGTTTTTGATAAAAAAAAATACTTTTTATATTTCCCAAATTTTTCAAGTCTAAAGGAATTTCCCCTCGCGATCCTGATAATCCTTTCAGTGAAAATGACCGACAAATATTAATTTCCCCAGCAGCTCATCGACTACGTGATTCCTCGACGTCGGGAGTAAATGCTCGAAGAAGTAGCAGCTTAAAAACAAGCAAAGAAATTTTGGCTGGAATACAGACAAGGCCTAGAAAATCTGGTAAACCTCAACAATCTTCCTCTACTTTTAAATTTTTCTAGTGACCGCCCAATATTCTGGATCTCCCCGTACACATCGCCGATTATTACCCACACCTCCAGCACAAGATAATGATAACTATAGTAATTCAAGTAATGGTGAAGATGAAGAAAGATTAAATGATAAAATGCAAAGAGCACATTTCTTTTGATTTTTTTAATTGAGATTTTTTTTAATTTTTGCCTAACAATGGTCACTCACTCAAATTGTATTTTTTATAAAATTATTTTTTAAAAAATATTTGTTTTTTCCTCATTTTTACACAATCTAGTTTTACATTTTTTCAATATTTTCCTCTAAAAATAAAACATTACAATAGTAAACCCCTTGAAAAAAAAAACTAATTCTCTCACACAAAATAGCAACTTTAGCAGCCCATACATCAGAGGTATTTTTCGCCTCTTCGACGTTGACTTCCGCTTTCTAAAAGCGGTTTCGGCACATCCCTCTATACATATTTAAACTGATCTACATCTTATTTCTGATCTAATAATACTTATTCTTTTCATTATAAACCTTAAAATTTTAAATGAAATGTGAAAAAGAGAGTGATCAGCAGTTGTTATTGTTGTTGTTTCCCTTGCTTTTGTTTATATCTCGTTTCTCTTCCCTATAAATTTCTCCCATTTATCCCAAGTAATTTTTCTTGCTTTTTAAAATTCTCTCTTCAACTCTCCCTTAAAACTGACGAAAAAAAATTTAAAATTTAATTTTCAACACTAATTAATTGTTAAATGGAATCTCGTTGCTCAAATTTTTCAGCACAAATTTGTCGACATGGGGATTATCAACTCCGGTTGGCACGTTCATCAGCTTATGTACAGGCTAAAGTGGCGCCGAATTTAACTAAGAATTTGGTAAAAGCTAGAGATAATAAGCAAAAATTTCCAAAATCTTTTAGCAAAAATGCCCAAAATGTTTAGTACTAGTTGATCAACGCCTTCATGCTAAATGTCCATCCGACGGTCTCTATCAACCGTATCAATGGGTACTTGACCCGGAGCGTTGGTATCTTTGAATACAAATGTGTGGGAGAAAAAAGTACTACTATATGAAGAGAGGAAACAAAAACAAAATATTTAATTAATCCGGAATTTCTGTGAATAAAATTTTTAAAATTTTCAGCTTAAAAGAATAAAATCACAATCACAATTTTCATTTAATCTATTCAATGTACTATCATTTATATAAAAAAATCTTTAGTTTAATAATAAAGTTAATAAAAACCCTTCTTCCTCTATTTAAAAGAAGCAACTGTTATCATGCATTCTCCTCTAAGTTAACTAAAAATATCTGAACTTTTAAAAGGAGACTAGACAAGAAGAACATCTCCTTATTCACTCATACACACATATCTCTAATTAAACAAACATTTTATTTACTATGTTTATCCTTACATAAAATCCTCCCTAGCTTTTAAACACAAATTTTATTTCTTTTCAGAGAACTAAAATGAAAATCGCAACTGGTAATTTCCGCCCCCACAAATTCAATTCATTCATTCACTCTTTTCTCTCCCTCCCTTTTTTTACAGAACACATGGAAATGTTAAATGAGAATGTGAAATATGAGATAAGCAAAGACAAAAAGTAAAATAGAATCAAAAGCATTTTAAAAAAATTAAAGTCAGATGGCGTTAAATTTGTGTGCCTAATCATCACAAAATTAAATGAATGATTTTTCTTTCATTGTTTAAAAAATTTTATTCTGACCTTTGAACATTTTTATTAAAAATACTTTTGTCAAATTTTTTTAAAAAATTTCTGGAAGACTAAAATTAAATCAGAAATTTCAATTTAAAAACAAAGTTTTAGACAAAAAATGTCAGACTACGCACTTGTCCGAACTCGTTCAGCTTTAGCCCTTTCGAGTTGCGCTCCTATAGGTTTAACCCGCACGTATTCAGTGCCTGATTTGTATGTTTCTTTTAAAAATTTCCCTAATCTTTTCTTGTCAATTTAGGTACAGGCCTTCATACTCATCTTATTACTACTATCCCTACTACAGTTCGAGATATTGGGTAAATTTTTTGTTAAAAATTTTTTAAAACCTTTACAATTAAATTTTAGTATCCTTATCGCTATCTGGTAAGTTAGCTTTACATGAGAAATTTTAATTTCATTTAATTAACACAAAAATTATTCAATTTAAGACTGATTCTTACTACAACTATTCTTGGCCCTACACCTATCGAAGCTATTATTCATACCCTTATAGTCGTTACTACTACCCTTATGGGTATTTTTACATTTTGAAATACTTCGATTAATTTATTAAATTTTAGCTATTATGGATACTATCCTTATAGCTATTATAGCCGCTATAGAAGCTACTTGTAAGCCTGTTTAATAATTCTAGAATTAAAACTGAAATAAATTTTCAGAGATTACAGTTTGCCCTATTACTCGAGAAGGTTTTTAGACCTTTTAAAAATAAATAAAAATTCCAAAAAAAATTTCTAGATGGTACGATCCTTACTATGATTCATACTTGGGCAGTTATCGCTATCGGAGCTGGCTTCTCGACAGTATCTATTATTGAAGGGCCTTTAAAAGTCTTCCCCCGTTTGGCACAGGTATGGAGGATGGACTGCACAAAGGGTTGGCCCTATACCGCAATGGGGTTAGTTTTTTCCTAGTCAAAAATTTACAAAAAATTAATTTTTCCTTTTAATTCTAGACCATCTCCTTTACACAATTAAATCGTAATTGGATTTCATCAACTAGCTGGTTCCAACGGCACAAAGACTGGCGCCTTCTCTACCTTTGGGACAAGAATCTTTCTAACCCTGATTCACATAAACCAGAAATAAGGGATTACAAAGCTGAATGGGTACCGGCGTTTAATCCCACGTAGAAACAGAAAAAAATAGAAGAATTAAAATGATAATTTTTGTTAGATAAAAAATCACACTGCCTTGTCCCTTACCCTTAACTAAAAATTACTTTGGGTATATATAAAAATTAATTTTGTATTTTTCTGATTCTGAATTGTTTTTCTGTTGTTGATTTTGTTCCTATAAACTTTTATATACCCAAAGTAAAAATATTCCATTTTTCCTTCATAAACCTGTGCCAGAATAATAAAAAATTATTCGTTTTGTTTACTTTAATTTTTTAAATTTTGAACTCTTGCTTAATGGAATTTGTATGAGGATATCAAAAAGAGAAAGAGAAAAGCCTCCATATGCTATTAACAAACATCAACAAAAAACAAAAACAATTGGTTCCAAAAGTTTTGACTCTCTTAAATAAAATCTATAAAACATTTCCCGTCATATGGTTCAGTAAACAAGTCAAATATTTAATTTTATTTTTCGAACGGCTTTCTCAGTTTAATAGTCAAAAAAAATTCCTTAAATTCTCATTTTCAAAGTCAATAAAAAATTAATTATTAACACAAAAAATGGCACTTGTCCGTACATATTCAGCACTAGACTTGCCCAGTGTTGGTCCTTATAGTTTAACTCGAACTTATTCTGTGCCATCACTTACAAGGTACAATCACTCCTACATGCCTATTATTAATAATATCAAAAAAATTTTTCTAGTTACACCCCAGTTTCATATTATTATCCTTACTATAGTTGGCGTTATTGGGTATGTCGTTTAATAAATTCCTCTCAAAATTTAAAAAATTCCTCCAAAATTTAAATTAAAGTACCCTTATCGTTACCGTGACTATTGGCAGGTTTGTAAACTTAAAAAATTTTTTTAAATAAATTTAATCAACAGTCTGATTATTATTGGTATGATCGTTATTCATATTATTCAACTTATACTCCACTCTACTATCGAAGCCTATTTCCGTATAGACGTTATTACTACAGGTGAGAATACAGGATAACAGGAGGTGTGCCGAAAAAGATTTTAAAAAATGAAAGACTAAAAGGCGAGACACTAAAAAATGCGAAATTCGTTGAAGGACGAAAGGCGAAATTCAATTTAAAAACCGAAAGATGAAAACCGAAAATGGCAAAAATTCGACGAAAGAAAATCGGCACATCCCTTGCGAACAATTATACAAAATTACAAAATAATCTTTTTTTAGTGACTACATCTCAAATCCTTATTACTGGTATTATCCCTACAATTATTGGAGCCGTTACAAAAGCTATCTGTTAATTTAGAATTTTTAAAAATTATTTTTTTGATATTTTTAGCTATGATTATGATTGGCCATACTATTACAGACGGTAAATTTAAAAAGAAAATTATTTTAGAAAATGTTTTACAGTTGGTATGGATCTTCCTATTATTTTTGAACAAGAAAACAGAAGAAGGATGTACAAAAGTCCAGAAAATTCAGAAAAAATACAGAAAAATTATTTTTTGTACTACTAGAAAATCATCAATCTAATTAACATTATTTTCGTAGTAAAATAAAGAAAAAAAAACAGAAAAAAAATTTAAGTCAAAAATATCACATTTGAAAAAAACTCCCCCTCTTTAAAATAGCATTTAGGGTGCCAAAAATACATAAAATAAAAAAATATGCAAAAATAAATACAAACAAAAAACGTTAGCATAAATTATATTGTTTTTTCCCTATTTAAAGCTTTTTACATTTTTAATGAGTTTTGGATTATGACGACATTTCTTTCTTAACTAATAGCCTCAAAGAATGAGCCAATAAAGATTTAAAATTGGATAGAGAATTTATTTTTTTTAATAAGAATTCCAAAAATGAATTTATTAAAATTACGAATGAATTGGCAAAAAATGAGTTAAAAATGAAAAAAATTTTCAACATAAAATAAAAAATTCCCTATCCATTTAAATATAGAAATAGCTTTAAACAAATAATTTTCAATGACGTTTAAATTTATGTTACTGCAAATGCTTTAATTAAATCTCGGCTCTATTAGACACATAAAAACCATCGAAAAATAAACGCACATTCTCTAATTAAAGCCCAGAGCTTTAATTAACGTATTCACATTAATTCGTTTGACGACCTGCTCACACTACACATGTCACAAATATTTTACTTTTGTACTACAATCATCCTCCCCCCTTTCCTCCTACCAAGTAAATATACTACTAAATAAATCTTATTTTAGCTCCTTTAAAAAAATTCATTAAAAACACATATATACATATCCGTTCATACTTTTCCCTATTTTTTTTCTTTTTTGGCATTTCCTTTGACTGGGAAAAACGAGATGAAGAAAAATGTGAGGAATGAGGAAAAGCAAAAAAAATATTTGATTAGCGGCCATAAACGTAAAAAATTTTCCCTTTTCTCATTTTTCTCATCTACCACCTACTAAACTATTCACACGCAAATACTCGGCGGAAATAACAAAAAATAGCTATGAAAATAAAAAAAGAGGCTGGGAAGCGCAGTCAAACCTTTTATGTTTTTCTCTCGAATATTTTTAATAAAATTAACTCAAATTAACCCTTTCTCGAACCTTTTTTTCGATTTTTATCAGGCATGCTCACGGGTACGGATATATCCGCGGATATCCGGATACCCGCGGCTCTGAAAAACTGACACTGAAAAACTGACTATTTTGAAAATTTTTTGAGTATCTGACCATTTTGAGAAAAATAAGATTATCCACGAGCGGATATAGTCGAAAAGTGACAGGATATAAACGGATATAGCTAATATCGGATGCGGATATCGAAAATCTATAACCTGTGAGCATGCCTGATTTTTTAATAAATTATAGTAATTTAATTAACCCACCTACATGCTCCCCAACATTAGCAATGCCCATCTTCTACACCTTTCACCACAAATTCCAGGCGCTGTTGTTAGTTGCACAGGCAAAAAGGTGTTGGTGACAGTCCACTCTAAAAATTAAAAAAAATTTTTTGAAAGGTTTTGACAGATCTTTTATTGACAAAAGTTTTATTTATGATTGCTTACCCAAGCATTTTTGTTGTTGGAACTGTTGGAAATTTGCTTGTTGTTTGGGTTGTTGTTAATTGTAAGGTAGAGAATAAATTAATTTAATTTAATCTAAAAAGTTTAAAAATAATTTTAGAAGATGCAGACTGTCACAAACGGTTAGAAAAAAGTTTACTTAATATTAATCTGTTAATTAAAAACCGGAAATGGACAAAAGAGTCTGGGACAATTGAGTCTCACCTAACTTTTTAAAATTTTTAAAAACCGGAAACGGACAGTAGAGTCTGGGACAGTTGAGTCTCAACGATATACTACCTAGTGACCGGCGCGGGACGGGATCCCGCGCGTGATCCCGCAAATTAAAAATGCGGGATTTTGCGGGAATGCGAGATTTTGCGAGATTATTCCCGCGGGAGTTACTCCCGCAGACAATTTTAAAAGTTACTCCCGCATTCGGGATCCCGCAAATACGATTTTGCCTGTCACTAATACTACCCGAGCATTCTATTCATCAATCACCTTCCAAAAAGGCTTTCTATTGGAGAGGGGGCATTAAATGAGAGGGCATTCTATTAGATGAATTTTTTAATTTACAGTATTCATTGCAAACTTGGCAGTCTCTGATCTTTTGGTTTGCTTCAGCTCAATATGGTTAACCCCTTCATATACCTACATTGGACACTGGATTTGGGGTGGTTGGCTTTGTTATTCTTTGCCTTTGTTCCAAGGGGCATCAATTTTTATCTCTTCACTTTCGTTGACAGCTATTGCATTAGATAGATATTGGGTTATCTGTTTGGCACCACCAAATAGGAGTGCTACACAAATGCATACTTCCAAACAAGTTGGAATTTTTTTGTTTGTAAAAAGGGTATTATAGCCTATACGCTCAAAACCAAGCTACAACTACTACTTTATAGCTTACATTTAAATTTGTAGTTCGCTTTCAGTTTTGTGTAGCTAATTTCTCTAAAATATAGCTGGTTGTAGCCTTTAGTTTTAAGCGAAGGCTATAAATTTTGGAGTTGAACTTATCTCTTATTCAAAATTACCCTCTTATTTAAAATTTATAGGTTTGTATAGCTGTAATTGTTCTCATTTGGTGTGTTTCTATTCTCCTCGCCTTGCCTTATGCTGTTCACATGAGAATTGCTCAAGGTGTGCATCCATCCACCTTACTTAGTATATTAAAATTCATTTTTAAAGTTCAATGGCCTTGCCATTTCTCCCTTTGTGTTGAAGATTGGGTTGATTTGGAGGATTTGAGGAGTGTTTATGGGGTTATTACTGCTATATTACAAGTAGATTTTTAAGGTTAAAGTTGAGAAAAATTTTAAAAGTTTGTCCTTCCATTTGCAATTATTGGAAGAAGTTATCGTCTTATTTGGAGGTTTATTGAATCTAGACGTGCCCAACTTCTAAGGCCTATAAGTGAGGCACAAATGAATAGAAAACAGAGATTGCTTAGAATGCTTGTTAGAATGGTTAATTAAATTAATTTTGAGTTTAGAAAAATTTTTTACAAAGGTTCTGGTTTTTGGGTGTTGCTGGCTTCCTTTTAATATCCTCAATTTGTTAAGGGATCTTAGAATGGATGCCTGGCTGAAGGTGGAAATTAATTAATATTTAAACTTAACAGAAACTGTTTTAAGCCCTATTTCTCCTTCCTTTTTCTACTTTCCCATTTACTCTCAATGGTTGTACCTGCAGCAAATCCTCTTTTATATGCCTGGATGAATAGTGCTTTTCGAGAATCTTTTCTGCGAGCACTTCCACTCGGCGGAAGATTGAGGAAAAAATTGGAAATGATGGAAATTGGAACTGTTGGGACTGGACAGATTTGTGGAGGAACTACAAGTTCCGAGGGAAGAGGAGGAAGGGAAGAATTTCAAACAGACAATTCCCAACAACAACAATTAATTAGTAATAGAAATTCTCGAGAATTTAGAACTCAAAGAATCTCTTCAACAATTTCACTTCGTTATTCACCTAGTAATCTCTCCAATTCTCACAATTAAAGAAGAAAATACAACAAGCAACTAGGAACGGATCTGGGGGAATTTTTTTATTTGAAATGAGCATTTCCACTTTAATTTTTTTCAAAATTTGAAAAATGTTTTTTAAATGGGGAAAATAAAAAAGGAAAATTAAATTTTACAAAAGTAAAATAAAAAAATTACGCGGCACTTTTTTAACACTTTTACTAAATTCTCAATTTCCTCTCTCTTTTCTCTTCTAATTAGGCCCAAGAGTACATATAACGTCTAGCCCCATATTTACCAGCTGGAGGGTAAACTTCATTCCAATCTTTTTCTTTTCGTCCAAGTGCCCATGGAGTAATCCAATTTTTGTCCAAATATGCAAAAGAAACTAATCCTTGTCGATACATGTCAATAGCCTGTTTTTGGTTTTTCCCGTCCAAAATGTAGGGTTTCCAAGAGTTCCATAAGGGACGGTCATAGTTTGGGTCGCGGTGCCGGCGCCAATACTGAAAATTTTTTTTTGGATTTTTTTGGACCAATATACATCCCTACCTTTGGTTCAAGATAGTCAGAGTAGAATTTGTAGCGGGACCAAAAATTGGGGTAATCTAGGCCTAAGGAATCAGGAATTGGGTCAGTGTTCATGTAGCGACGAGCTGTGAATATTTTTTGAAAATTTTTAAAATAAACATCAAGAATACCTGAGAAGCGTCTATCAACCCAGAAAAGAGGTGAATGGTGACTTGTGTCAGTTATACTTGCTTCTAACTGAAAATGAGAATTTTTTGGAATTTTTGTAAGACCCTTTGGAAGATCCCCGTTTCTCTTAAAAATAGTTAAGGAGATTTTGTTTTATTATTATTTAGAAATAAAAAAATAGATAAATAAATAAATAAATACAACAATTGTTTAGCTAAAAATATTGAAAATTAAAAAAGCTATTAAATCGTTAGGAAGACAAGTTTTGTTGGAGGTTTTTCAAGCTTTTTATTTTTTTCTGGATCAATTTGTAGTCAAAAACAGCCGTTTTTAGCTTATTTGAACACTTGTTCTTGAGTGAAATTAAATCCCAAAAATACACCCTTACCGGGTTCCAATCACGTCTGTATTTGTAAAGAGTTCCCGGCCTGAATGCATCAGAAACATGCATATTGTGCAGATTTGGGACAGATGAAACTCTTAGAAAAGATAATTTTTATAAGGGTTAAGAAAATACAAAATCACCAACCTACTCAATGTAGGAACCATAGCTTCCCCCGAATGCATGTCCCTTGCGCGGGGATATAAAATATAAGAATTTGAGCGGACTATAGGGAAGTTGCTCATTTTAATTTCTAAATTACCTAAATTATTTTTGGGGAAAGGACAATTAAATTTAGTCTGTTAAGGAGGGTAATTATTATATTAATGTTTGTGTTTTTTAAAGTAAAACTAAAAAGATGAAAGAATAGAGGAAGAACAGAAGAAAAAAGTTTTGTGTTTCACCACCATTTGTTTGTTGGAGAGAAGAAAAAAGTTTTTTTTTAAAATCAGAAAAATAAATAAAACTTGAGATAAAGCTGATGGTAGGGAGAGATTGCGTGGGTTGTTGTAAAGCTTATAAAAAATTAGAGAGAGTGAGAGAATGGATGCTTATTAAACAACAAAATTTAAAAAAATATTAAAAATATGAAAAATAATTTTTAAAAATATTTGGCAGCTTTAAAAAAGCTGTAAACGAAAAAAACTAGTAAAATCCAATAAGAAAAAAATTTTTTATTTTGAAAAACTGACATAAAAATTTTCTTAAATTTTATTTAATCCTCTTTCTAATAAACATCGTTGTATAACAAATGTGAATTGTAACGTTTCCAGAAGCGCTGAAGATAAGGAGAGTCTCCAGTATGAGGGTCATATAAGCGACGATAGAGAGGGGAGTAATCATCGTCTGAATCATACCTAGAAGAAAATTTTTTAAGAATTTTTCTGAGGGTGAATATTTACCAATAGCCTTTAGAACGTCCCCAATAAACGTGTGGTGTATTCCAAGTGCATGGGAACGTTATGTGATGGCTTAAAATTTTTTTAAATTTTTTAGAAAATATTTAAGCTACCTAGCATAATGTCGTTTATATGGCTGTGTGCCTTTGTAAAGAGGAGAGAAATAATAATATTTATCCCACCAATGATTATCCATCAAATAGGAAGGTCTATAATAACGAGGTTGTTCTCCAATGTCTCTATAGAAAGTGTGGGACCACAAAGGAGTTGAATCATTGTGAACTAAGAATGAACGAGCAGGGGTAAAACGTTCAAGAGAACGCTCATATTTGTTGACATCATAGAGGGAGGATGAGCGGGCTAACTGAAAAATTTTAAAATTATTTTGATGATTTATTAAGAATTTAGAAGACCGAGGGAGCTGGTCGACGTTCAAGTTCGCTCATTTTCGTGACAGAATATGAACGGGTTAGAGTTGGTGAAAAAGCCATTTTTTGTTGGATTTTTAATATTTTTTATTAATTTATTTTTACTTCAAAAAATGTTTGTATTTACTAAAAATAAAAAAATATTACACTAAAAATTAATAAAAATAAAAATAAGAAAATAAAAGGTTGTATAACAGAGAAAAATAAATTTAGTGTAAAACAAATGCTTTCTAAAATAAATATATCCGGTTGATTGGAAGCTTTTTCCAGTGCTTGGAAGAAAGCAATAATCTCTCCCCAGCTTAAGCTTTATTAACTAGAAATGAGCGCGTATGCTTTGGGAAGTTCCCCGTCTGCTCCGATAATTCGTGTTAAGCCTGTGCAGCTTCGTCCAAGAACCTTGGTGATTTAAAATAAAATTAATAAATTATTCAAAATTTAGGCTGATTTATCCAACTCATTCACTGTTGGCTTCACTTCTCCAATTGAAAATACAGCGGCAAACTATAAACTTCGTAGTTTTCCCTACAGAACTTTTCGACAATCTAGATTGGATGATATTACTTATTCTGACAATTATTTTCAATTTTCTGGGAAATACAGACCTTTACCTCTATATGAACGTTATGACCGAATGTAAGGGGAATTTTAATTATTTTTTAATTAATAAAATATTTTAGAGATCACAAAAAAGTTCCATATACGTATTGGTCTAAGGCTTATTGTGATTGCTTGTAAGTTTTGAATTTTCTTGTTGAATTTGATTAGTGAAATAGTGTGTTTTTTTATTAAATTACATAAAGTACAGGGTGACAAGAAAATGATGGGGCACACATTTTATGCCATAACTTTATTCAAAAAAATGATAATGGGATCTAATAAAGCTTATATGATAGAGAATTAAAAATGGAACAAGAATAATCACGAATTTTTGAAGGTCCCACCCTTCCCTTAGATACAAAGTCGAAGGCGCGTAGATTAAGTATTTTAAGTATTTTTACATTAAGTATTTAAAGTTCGTAACTTTAAATTTATTATTCTGATTTTAATACTCATTTAGATATATTTCTGATCAACCAGATAATTATAGACGAATATATGAACCTTATAGAGATGATTATTCCTATAAAGTATGGAGCGCTCCTCGAAGGAAGCTTCTCAAAGATGTATAGAAAAAATATTTTTTTTTAAATTTAAAAATTTATTTGTTAAAATTACAACTAAAATTTAATTGTTTTTTAATTTTTTTGAATTAAATAATTCTGTCTTTCAAACTTCAAAATAATTCAAGTCGTACTCCTTCGAATAAAATGAAGGATTTGCGTAGTCATAACTTTAAATTAATGGGAGAATTTTATTTTTAATTTAATTGCTTACATATAACCACGATAACGAGCCCAATAAGGGTAAGGATAGCTAAAATATTAATTTATTATTTTAAAATTTATTTAAGATAAATTACTTCCAGTAATGATTATTTGCTATATAATCACTAAAAAATTAAAAAAAAATTTTTTTAAATTAAATATTAATATTTACACATTGGGTTTATTCTTCCCAAAAAGTTGCCGTTTGTGTAGAGGAGAGTGTAAACTGTAAGGGTCATGCCAGTACATTTCATCCTAATTTAAAAATATTTTTTTTAATTTTCTAATTAAAATTCAAACAGAATAAGGATCAGATAAATATCGATAGGGCCATTAAGAATGCCAATTTGCAGAATTTAACAAAGACCAGACAGGTTTTGCGTTTACCAATTTTAATGATAAATCGTCTGTTGAAGAGACGGGGACAATACGGCGAGGCAACTAATGAGTTTAAATGAATTAAATTAAAGTTATGAGAGTGAAGACCTCAGGTAATCGTTGCCGAATATTTTTCTCCATTTGGTCTGGCCTAAGTACAGGTCCACCATGCATTACTGCATAAGCGGCACACATTTTTAAAAATAATTTTAAATTAGTGGAAATAAAAGGCTGTGGGGAGTTCTTAAAAATAATCGACAAATTATTTTATTTATAAATTTTTAGTCTTTTATTGTTTACAAATCCGTTAGAAATTTTTTTTTAAATATATTTCTTGATCCAATTTACTCAATATTTTTTTATTTGAACATATGTTTTGCATCATCCTAAATTTACAAACAACTGTTTTTTAAACTTTATTTACTCTAGCACTTTTATTTATTTTTATTTCTCCTCAGTTTATTCTCTTGAAAATTTTTAACAAAAAAAATTTAAAGCGGAAATCGAAGAGGATGAGGATTAGGGAGGTTTTAGGGATTAAATAAATGTGTGGGGAGGGGAGGGAGAGGGTGTATTTTTAATTAAAAAATACTCAAAAATTGTGAGTATTTTAAATGAATTGTGAGTATTTTAAATGAAAGAATCGCGGATTTGTATTTATAATTTAGCCAAAATAATCATCAATTGGATTAAAATAGCGTCGATAAAATGCTGGGTGATTCCTATCATATCTAAATAATTTTAAAAATTGCTTAATTTTTCTAAATTTAATTACCCATATCCATTATAACGAGCCCAATATGTATAGATATGGGAGCCATATTCACTGAGAAAAATTTCAAAAAATTAGGGGGGGAGGGGGGCTTTACAAAAATGTTTTTAGTTACCTTTGAAATGGACGGTGTGGTATACTTGTACGATTATACAATGGAGAAGTAAAATAGTACTGATCGCGCCAATAATGTTCGGCCTTTAAAGAATTTTTTTGTTGTGTTTTTTATGTTTTTATCAGATCATACCATTTGTTTGTTTCTTTCGAATTTATAAGGTGCTGGATTTCTGTATCTAAGAGGTCGTTCATACTTTTCAGATAGCCACAGAGGCCGATGTCGGTCATAGGGTCTGTAATTGCCTGTTACATCTTGTACCGATTCAGAACGGGGAACCTGAAAGAATTTTATAAAACAAAAAATAATTTTTAACTTTTTGTGTTGTAGGCCAAAAACTCGAAGAACTTTTGGTACGGCACAAAGCTGTTGTAAAATCTCTCCATGGTTCATAAGCGTAGAGAAGCATGAGGAGGAGATGGAGAGATTTTTGCAGACAAAAGTGATTTAAGTTAAACTTGAAGAGAATGGGGAATTTTGAGGGGGAAGGATCTAAAGCTTTGAGAAAGAAAAAACAGGTGATTCAATAAATGTTTTAGTAAATAATAAATATTACGTAAAAAATCTAACCAAAAAACAGAGGAGGAAAAGGGTATTTTCCCTAAAAATAGACACAAGGGATGGGTCGGATTACCCGAAACTCGGATTTGTTCTCGAACCAAAACCCGACCCGAAAAATTTTTCTGAAACCCTGACCCGATTTTTTTCTCAAACCGACCCCTTCCTTATACATAGACAACTGATTTTAAAAATTAATTTTAAGATTTTTTATACTTTTTAATTAAAAACAAATGTCTAAATATATTCGAGAATTCATTTTTTGTTAATTTTTCTTCTCATCATTTTTAACCATAATTGTCTATCAAATTAGCATGGTAAGCAGACATATCATAAAAAGGATTATACCTTTAAAAATTAATTGTATGAGTTTTTAAAAAATTAGTTTCCTCACCAACGCTTATAATGGAACCATTCAAGATAATCAAACCTAGAAAAAAATATTTTTTCTATCAAAAGATTCCTTTAAAAATTTACCAAGCCCCTTTATAATCTGCCCAATGTGTGTCGTATTTAAAAGGTGTCAAGTCTCTACAGGGAGTAGCATATCGGTGAGGATGTAAATTGTAATAATATTGTGGAGAAAAATAAAAATAAGCATTGCCACGGTGGGGGAACTATAAAATATATTTTTTGGATTTTTTTTTCTAAATAATCTGACTTACTTGATCGTTTCTGTACCACTGAGGCTTGTAGCGATCAGATTGACGAACGTGGACGGTGAGATCTGGAACGGTCCTGGTACGCGCCAGGTAGCCTTGTCCATCTGGGAAGCCTTGCAACGATAGCTAAATGAGTAAAATGATTATCTAAAGTGAATGACCTCAAAAGGTTATGACCCCCCCCCCCAACAACAACAAAAAATCAAGACTTACAAAGGTAGTTGGACGAACTTGGGCCATATTTTTGTTTTAAATTTTTATTGACAAGAAATTTGGAATAAGAACATATGAAGTGAGGGGGCGTGAAATTTAAGGAATTGGTTTTGAATGAATGAGAGAGAGAAATTTGGTAATGTTTTTTAAGCAAAAAGCTAAAACAGGTGTATGAAGCAAACGAACAGATGGATAAATAAAAACATAAAAACAAGCATGTATCTAGTAAATTAAAATAGAAATGTCGTTATGTGTTGTTGTGGTGTAGTGGTTAAGAGTTTGGTCTGTTGTGGACGTGGGTTGGGGGTTCGAGCTTGCCGGTAGTTTTTTTTTATTTTTAAGTTCGAAAATATTATAAGTTTTTGTTTTTTTAATGTTGAGAAAAATTTTTTGAGATTTTCTACAATTTTTTCGAATCTATAAAACATTTGTTTCTCTCAACAATTTTAAATAAATGTTCTTAAACATTTATTAAATAAAAAATAACTTTTACGCGAAGATTCTGGCATTCTGTCTTTTTTGTTACTTTGTCTTATTGGGACACGCCCAAGTGGGCGCGCGGCCATGTAGGCGCAAAGCCATAACTACCTGGAACTTTTCTGGACCTTAACATTTTTGGTACCATTCTCTTTAGCTCGATGAGAGGAATCGTTTAATACTAAATTTGGTAAGATTCGGAAAACTTGAAGCAAGTTATGGCCTTGCGCCTACATGGCCGCGCGCCTACTTGGGCTGTACCCGTCTTATTGTCTAACGCTCTCCTATATTTAGTTCACTCTCTCACCACAACCAGATTTTTAAAGTTTTTTTTCATTGTTTTTTGTTTGTACTTTTATTTTTTTTCATTTTATTTATTTATTTTGCAGGTTTTAGTGTATTATGGCTTCTACCGAATTAGTTAATTTTGCTGGTTTATCATTTTTATGTGAAAAGCTTCGATTGGAATCTCTTCTTATTAAACATGAAAAGTTTACATTGGAGGATTTAAATAGAAAAGTATTTTTTTAAATTTTATTTTTGATTCTTAAAAAAAATTTTTTTAAAGGTAATTAAAGAATATAATAATATTTGTAAACAAATATGGATTTATAGACATCAACAGGTTTTTTTAGAAGTACTATAAATGTTTTAATAGAAGCCCATCTCCAATAGAAGACCATGCTTGTTAAAAGTCCACTCAAGGATACCCTATCAAAAATTAAGTACTTACGCTTTCTAATGGCAGTCCATCTCCAATAGTAGCCTGCTCAATGAGATCTATTGAAAAATAATCCCCAGGGCGTCTATTAGAACATTTTATTTTTTGGAGTGATTTAAAATTCTTTTAATCTAAAGGAAATTCTAAATCAATTAATTAATTCTGATATTAATGTCTCTCCGGAAAATTGTTGTCAACTTTTTAATAATTTATATTCATCAAATTTTGTTGAAGCTTACAAAATTTTGAATCAATATGCTGCTGAAATTGTTCAAATTTACAAAGTTTTGGCTTATGCTCCTAGAGCTGTTTCTATGTTTTTAAATGCTACGGAAAAGATTACAGCAACTAATGTGAGTTTTTTGGGTTTTTAATGCTTGATCCGATATCTTCCATGAAGAGGATACCTGTCATTACCAACCCTTCCTTTTATTTTTATCGGGGAAATTTGGAATTGGATTTTGTGTAACCTATGACATCAGGCCTGTAACCAGGGCAGGTAGGGGGAGAGAATTCCCCCCTTGGCCATCCCTCTTAAAAATCGTGGTTAAGGCTGAATGGCAACACTGATTTTCAATACTTCTTTTCTCTGACTTTAAATATTTTTATTTCTTTTTTTCAGTATACAATAGATGAATTATGTTCTTGTGTATTTAATGTAATTTATGGTTCTTGCTTTTTCCCAGAAGATGAAAAGAATATGTTAGAATTACTTGGGCATTTAATTAATTTACAAATTGTACAAAATCCAGATCCACGAAAAATACTCAGAAAAGGAAATTCTGTATTTTCTAGAATGTATAAATATTTTAGTGAATCTCTTTTATCCACAAAGGTTTTTTATAATTGAAATTTTATTGAGAAATTTTTTTAAAGATTTTTCTTACTGCTGCCCTTCATGAGCCAATAATGTTTCTTTTGAGTCAAGACGGTATTTTTTCTAAATTTTTTTCAATTTTTTGTTTTAGAACTATTTTTGGACATTGACCCATCAAAATCACCAATTCGTATACCTGCACATGAAAGACGTTTACGTTTTGGTCCAGACGAAAATTCAAAATCTTATAAAGACAAATTGGCCCAACACAGACGAATTATTGTTGACAAATTGGTTTTGGTTGTTGAAACGTTTATTAATGGTTTGTTTTTGTTTATTTCTATTTAGAATATTTAGTTGGTTTTTTGACGTTGAGTTGACAAAAATTGACTCGTTTCGGTCAACTCTTAAAAATACGAATTTTTTCAAATTTTGTTTATTAAAAAATTTTTTTCTCCAATTTTCTAGCAATATTAAATGCAATGCCAATATTCCCAAAAAGTATAATTTGGTTAGTTGATCAAATGCATACAGCAATGATTGAAAGAAAATTAGTTAGCAATGATGAGGCAGCTTTAATTTGTACAGACCTTATTTTTACTTATTTTATTTGCTCGGCTGTTATACATCCTGAACCTCTTGGAATTATATCTGACACTCCGATAAGGTTTGGATTTTTAAATTTTTGGTACCCTCGGGTTTGTTTTAATATCGGGCGTGATGATTGCGGTTTGAGAAGAGTCGGATCTTGTTTTCGAAATTTTCTTTGGATCTTGTTCCGGTCTTTTCGAATTTCCCTCTGAAATTATTTCCTACTTTCTATTCTTTCAGTTATATTGCTCGTTTCAATTTAATGCAAGTTGGACAACTTTTACAATCATTGGCAATACTTCCATATGAACAACGTTTCCCTTCTTATTTTAATGAAATTCTTTCTCATTTAGACAAAGTTTGTTTTTTTTTTGAAAAATAATTAAAAAAAATTTTTCTGAAGAATTCAATGACCAAAGTTATGGATACAGTTTTACAAACTGGATCAGCTTCAATCGAAACAATTTTCCCTACGCAAATTGCAGATTCTAAAGGAAATGAAGTTTTTAGACGTACAACATTTGTTGCTTCTCTTAATGAAATTAATATTTTGGTTTGGATTTTTTATTTTTAGACCTTATTCCTTTTAAATTTTTTAGCAATATTATTTAAAATCTCCTGCGTTGGAAGAAATTAATGATGCAGCATTATTAAAAAATTTAAAATTATTATTGAAAAGATTGCCTGAACAATTTAATGAAAAAATTAAATTTTATATGGGATTGCCAGAAAAAGAACAATCACAACAACAGCAGCAACCAATTTCTTCGTCTACACGGTTAAGAAATTTGGCTGATAAAGGTTTTGGATTTTTAAAAAATTTTTTATAATTTTTCAAAATTTTTTTAGTTCAAAATGTTGCTTCTAAGGGACATCAGAAATTAATTCAAACAACATCAGTTTCAAATTTTAGAAATTCCGATCAACAAAATTTAACAAATTCTTTGTCTGTTAATGTTTTGGTTAATGAAAATGAGAATAATAATAATTGTAATTTAATTTCAAATAACAATAATAATCAGCAACAAAAACAACAGAACCAAAATGGTGTTAATTCGACGACAAATGAAAATTTCAATCGGGTAAAATAAAAAGAAATTTTTATTTATGGTTCTTAGGCTGTTCACTCTAAATGAACTTTTTTCGACCTAACATTCTATTCTAAAAAAATTTTGACCAAAAAATTTTTAGGATGTATTACTCTTTGAAATTCCTGATAGTTATGAGCCAATAGGAACAACATCTGAAGAAGAAGTTTTAAAATTAAATTTTCGATTAGAATCAAAAAAGTGCAATGGCCAAAAGAAAACAAGATTTTTGGCTGCAACGGATAGCGTTGGTTTGTTTTTTGTTTTTTTTTTTAATTAAAAAATATTTTAGTTTCTGATAGAACAAATACAGATGTTATAAGTGACGATGATGAAGAGGAAGAAGATGACCAAGAAGTGGGAGAAGTTGAGGGTGTGGATGATACTTCTTCGAGTTCTTCAAATGGAAATGCTGAGGTTTTTTTAGGAAAAATTTTTTGGAATTTTTTTCTTGTTAGCACACTTAAAAGTTTGCTAAAAAATTTTTTATAGGAGGCAGAAGAAGATGTTGCTGTTTTACCAGACAATTTTTCTGACGTTGTCCCAATTAGTGCAAACGTTTCTCGACGTGGATCACCTAGCTTAAGTGGAAGTAAACTTTCTGGCAGAGAAACTCCTTTTTCTAATCATGCGGAGCAGAATAATGGTTTTTAAAGTTTTTTTAATAAAACAAAATTTGTTAAAGATCCTTCAGTAATTGAAAATTCTTCTTCAACAATCCCAACATTTTCAAATACTTTACCTCAACAAGAAGCAAATAATAATAGACGAACTTTACCATATTTACCTGTAACTGTAAGAAAACAAAATTCTGAAGGTTTAGAAGAAAAATTTGGAAAATTTGTTCTTCCACAAATTGACAGCACTAGAAATCGTAAGCTGATACATTTGGAAAATATTTTGGTTATGAATAGGGGAGGGGATGGGGGGAATTTTTATAAGAAATTTTTTTTGAAAATTTTGTGAAAATTTTTGTTCTCTTCAAAAGGTGATGAAACAATTTCTTTGGTAAGCGACAATTGGTCAACAGATGTGGTTGCTTCTGATAATGAAGCAGCGATGATAGAATTAAGAAATGCTGTAGATGCATCTTCATCTTCAATATCATCAATTCAACAACCACAAAATTCATTTCTTCAGCAAAATAATTTTGCTGTTCAGCAACAACAAAATAATGTTTTACCAATAAATAAATTACAACAACAAATTTCTTCTTTAAATTCATCAAAACAATTAAATAATTTGACAAATTTTTCTTCAAATTTGGCATCTTCTTCTAATATTGTTACTGCACCTATTGCTGTTTTAAATCCAGTTAATGCTCTGACTAATTTAGTTTTAAGTTCAACAGCAGATAATGTTGGTGCTTCTTCATCTAATGAGGTCACGATAATTTTTTAAAAATTAAAAAAATATTTTTAGATCCCAAACAATATCAATAATATTGATGAGGAAGAAGATAAACTTCCATATTTTGATCAAAACAATATAACAACATGTCGAGCTTTTTTGGATGCTAAAAGAAAACTTAGACTAGTTTTAAGCAATACTACAACACTTCCAAAAAGTTTAGATTTGATAAATTATAAAGAAGCATCCAATACTAATGATAAACAACATCAGCAAAAAGAAGCAATAAATGGTAATGATGTTGGAGATTCTTCTACAAGGTAAATTTAATGTTTTTAATCCGTGTTTTGGGTCCGGGGACCCAACTCATCCTTGGTTGTATGTATATATCTAACGTGAGGGAATGAACTATTCTCTGGGTTTGTGTCTTGCTTTTGTGAGGGCTATGAAAAGTTTAAACGAGGTGCTATAAAATGAACCCCGTGGCGATCTCTACTTCTCTCTATTTTTCTGACTATTTTTCCACTACTTTTGAGAATTCTTTTATAACATTCTTATTATTTTTTACATTAAAATTTTTTTCTTATAGAAAAATAGCTGATGCAGAAGTTTTAGCACTTCAACAAATGCTTCATTTATTTTTAGCTGATTCTATCAATAGTCGAGATCGTAAACAAGCAGCACAAATACGTGAAGTTTTGCGGTGTTTATCAATATTTGATAATAAAGGAATATTTTTATTATTAAAAAAATTAAAAAGAGAACAACGTCAAAGATTATGTTATACATTATATTTACAACAATCACAATCTACATTATTACAATTTAAATATTGTTTAGAAAAAATGAATAATCGTTTTGTTAGAAATTTAGAATTAACATCAGAATGTTTAGTTGAAATGTTAGTTAGATTCCATTTACAAAAGGAAGATTTGAGACAATTTGTCCAAAATTTTCAAAATTTACATGTTCAGGTATTTTTTAAATTTTACTTTTAAAAATTTTAATTTTTATTTTTGTTCGGAAATTTTAATAATGCTTTTTTCTTAAAAATATTTTAAAAATCTCTGGCTGGGTTCGAACCTTGCTGTTCGATCTCTGTTGTTTATCATATAAACTCCACTACACCACAGAATTTATTAGGTGTTTTTATGCCTTTATTCCGCTATTCTCTACCTTTACGTTCTTTTAGCTAATATTAATTTTTTTGTTAATTTTTCAAATTAAAACAACTAATATTAATTTAGGATGAGAAAGTAGAACTAGTTTCTTCAACTCTTCGAATTCTTTGTGATCAACTTTTAACCGATCCGATTTGGCATTTTGCAACAGTAGAAAATTTAGATTATGCAAGAAAATGCATGGAACGTTCTTTAATGGCACAAATTTATGTTTATGCTTTATTTCCAAATTCTGATGCTGATTATTATCGTGATGAGTATGTGACACGATTTTTTTTAATAAATTAACTCTGGTCTAGATTATAAGTCCAATGAAGCTTTATGTGTCCAAACAAAATTTCGAAGTCTTTGGATGTTTGTGATTTTTAGGGACAAAAAAAGTTAATTCATAAAGGTTCATTGAACTCAAATTAGAACAGAGCCAATAATTTTTAAATTTTTTTAATTTTTTGAAGAGTCCTCTCAAAATCAATTCGTCAGCTTTCTTCTTTACTTTCTGTTGATCATCCAGATCTTGCTATACCCAAGGTTTTTTTGAAAATTTAAAAATATTTTTCAATTAATTTTTAAAGTGTCTTCATGCCGAATGTCCTTGGTCTTCTGCACAGGCTGAATTAAATATTATAAATGCATATAAATCACCGCGTGACAAAATGGTTTTTTTAAATTTTATTTGAATATTTATTTTATTATTCTTTAAAGAATTGTATTTCTCGTTGTTGTGAGACTATAGAAAATTTGATTGTTCTCTCTGCTGGACGTGTAACTTCATCTGCTGACGATATTTTGCCTATTCTTGTTTTTGTTATTATAAAGGTTTTAATTTAAATTTTATCGAAACTTTCAATCTCTTCAATTTTAGGCAAATCCTCATGCTCTCCTTTCCAATCTTCAATTTATTGACAGTTTTTATGCTAGTAGAATGCAAGGAAGTGAAGCTTATTGGTGGACACAGTTTAATTCAGCAGTTGAATTTTTGAAGACTTTACTTAATAAATTATGCAATAAATAATTAATAACCAGACAACAAAATTTAAATTATATATTAGACTCCAGGGCTCCGATCGACAAAATGCCACTCAAAAGTATCAAAATCTTGATTAAAAAGTATATAGGGAGAAAATTTGTAAATAAAAAGTAGTCTCAAAATTAAATTAGAAAATATTTATTCGTCCTCAAATCTTTTATATTTCTCTCCTAAATGAATCTTTTCTAATAATATCTTGTTTCAACTGAGCATTTTGTCAATTTTAATGCACCTTTTGTGGCGCCGAAGGCGCCAAAAAAACTATTTTTTGCGCCACAGGCGAAAATTTTGAGAATTTTGGAGGTCCTTAAGCCAGATTTCTTCCCTTTTTCAGCGCCACAGGCGAAAATTTTGAGAATTTTGGAGGTCCTTAAGCCAGATTTCTTCCCTTTTTCAGCGCCACAGGCGAAAATTTTGAGAATTTCAAAGGCCGTAGGCCAAAAAAATCACTTTTTTGCCCAATCCCTTTCCCAATTTCATTTTCAATCAAAAAAAAGTATATACTTTCAAAAAAGTATAAATTCAATTTCGTAAGTATGGAGGTCGATTTAAAAGTAGAATACTTTTAAAAAAGTAGGAATCGGAGCCCTGTATTAGACCAACATTTTTTAAATTTTTTTAATGGGAAATTTTTTATTTTAATTTTGTAAAAAAATTAAAAAATATGCCCAAAATATACAAGATATTTAGTAAATAAGCCTAGATTTTATTTTTAAAAATTTTCAAAAATTTTTTTCTATTATTTGAACATAAATAGAAATATAAATTTAGGCTTTTCCGGTCACTACATTTATTATAAATTTTATTTATATATTATTTAATTTTTTTCTCTCGTAAAACTATTAGACAAAAAAGTGAAAAAAGATGATTAATTAATTTTTTGATCAATTATATATTTTTTATTTATTGAATAATACTTTTTTATTAAAAATTAATTTAATTATTAGCCACACATATTTTTTAATTATTTAATTTAACAGGTTTTTAATTTTTATTATAATTTATTCAAGTGCCTTCAAGTTTTTTGTGCTTTCAAAAAATAAATTTTTATTTTGAACATCAAGAAGAAGAAGAAAAAATAAATAAGAAGGAAAAAAATTAAAAAGCTTATATTAAAAAGAAGCAAAAATAAAAAATACCGGTTTTTTTCTACTAAAAACAAGCAACAACAAACAACCGAAAATTTTCTCTTCTGACTAATATAATATTTCTGGTGTCAATTTCAAGTGATACATATTTTTGGTGGTGGTTGGATGCTTTTTGTAGAGAGGTGGGTGAACGAAGGGAAGGAGAAGGGAAAAATAAAAATTAAGGGAAAAAAGATTATATTTCTGGTTAGCTATTTTAAATATAAATAAATATATTTGTTTATTTTTCCTTTAATGTAATCCACGTATTTTTAAAAATATTTCCATGACAACCGAAAAAAATAAGATTTTTTTCTTTGAATAATTTTTAAAATATGGATTAACCTTTTTCGATTATTTTGGACTTTAATTTTTGTGTTTCTTAAGCTTTGTATTCTAATTTTCTAGTATTTTTAATTTTTTAGTTTCTTGATTTTTATGTTTTTAATTCTGATTATATTTTTGTGGTTTCTCGCTCTTTAATTTCTTGTTTTTTAATTTTTCTTCCTTGTATTTTTGGTGCCTGTTTTAATTTTTTGTTTTTCTGATCTTTCGTATTTTTATTCTGACTTTAGTTACTATAATCCAACCTTAAAAGCAATACTCTTTTTTTGTATTTTTTACGTTTAAAAACGCAAATATACACATTCTTTAATACTTAAAACATGTTTGTAACCTTTTCTTTCCCGCCTTCTTACAAACGGTGGGCTACCAAATAACAGAATTCATTAAATGAATAGTTTTTTTTGTCTTCTTTTTCTTCTTGCCGAATTTTTCTTCGTTTTATTTTTGCAATTTTTGTAAATATATTTTTGGGGTGGAGGGAGGGTTATGGTTAATTTCTTCGTTTAATTTTTTTTATTTTCGTCTCTTCTCTAAATACCTTTGTAAAACGGTTCACCTCAACAATATTTTTATATATCAAGTGGCAGTTTTCTCGTCTTCGTATTTTCATTTTACTACCTGCACTTTTGAAAAATTGTTTCTCTCATTCTTTCAATTTTCATTCTTTCTTCTGTTTCCTTCAAAAAAATTTTTATTTTTGCAATACTAAACTTAATTTTATGTTTGTGAATTAAAAATTAATTTACCTATTCTTTATTTAATTTTTTTAATTAAATTAAGTATTAGTTGCAAATTTAAATTTATTTTCTGTACATAACTATTAAATCTTTATTTTAATTTTAAAAATCTAAACAAAGAGTTTTGCATGCGTTTTAGTTTTAATCTTTTTTTCTAAAAATATTTTTGGTTTATATTTATTGACCATTTTTGAGTAAACACGCTGCTATTTTTATTTAAATTTTAGCGATCATTTTATGTCTCTATAATCTCTCTAAAATAATTTTTTATTATTTTATTAGTCGAACAAACTTAGAAAATATTTATTTTGATAGGTTTAATTAATTAATTAAAATAAGTTGCGTCCTTGTTTAAAATCAATTATGCGAATAATTTTTATTTTAGATTTATTTTCACATTTAAAATAATCATTTTCTTCTTCTTTACATAATGATTGTTTTTAAAGCTTCTTTCTATTTTCTTTTTATTTTCTTTGGATTATTACAATGATTTAACTGACAAAAACTTGTTTATTTTATCTATCTTTGTCTAAAGAAAACTGCAAAAACCTAGAGAAAAATGCTAAAAAAATTTGCAAAAAACAGGCGTTGAAAAAATAGAAAATTAGAAAAAAACATGCAGAAGCAACAGACGCGATTATAGAATAACAAGCATTAATTACAAAATGAGCAATAAAATAATTTATTGAATTGAAAAAAAAGCAGGCGTTAAACATGAAAGATGCGTGTTTGATTGTTTGTTAAATCAATGGCTTAAAATTATTTAAAGCGTGTTAAACAAATATTATGATGTTTTTTTCCTTTTTTTCCTCTTAACTGTCAATAAATAGGTAAGTGAATCATCGTTTTATATTTAAATTTTGGATTTTATTATTTAAAAATTAATTTTTTTGTTTATTTTCTTAAAAAAATTTTTTAATAAAATCCAATAGAAAATAGTTTTTTTGATTAATTACATAATATTATAGGTGAGAGATGACCTATAAATAATAAAAATCGGTACGTGCTCGTTCCTTCTTCCGCTCTTTCTTTTCTCTTTATTTTCAGCTTTTTCTTAATATTTTTAACCTTGTTGTAACCATTTTTCAAACAATAAAAGTGTAGGTTTTTGTTTCTTTTTTCACCTTCTACAAGCCCACACACGGGCATGCACCTTTAAAAAATTATATTTTTTAACAATTTTCCTTGATTTATTTTCGGTCCTTTCCGACCCAGCTATCTCTAGAATTTCTTCTATATTTTTAAAAATTTTTTTAAATCTAGATTTTTATTTTTTTGTTAGTAAATTAATTATAATTTGTATTTTTTTATTTATTTTAATTTAATTAATTAATGCATCAAAATGGTTATTGAACTTAAGAGTAGTAGAAATTCACAAATTAATGGTTGGTTTGTTTTTTTTTGTTCTGAAAATTGTTTCCAAATCTTTATTTAATCAAAAAAATTTTTTTATTTTTGATTAAATTAATCTTTTTGGATTATCTTTAAAAAAATTTTTTTAATACCTAAATAATGATTATTAGATTTGTTTTTTCTGTGTTTGTTTTTATTTGTTTCCAACTAAAAATGCTTGAGGGGTGGATTAATATATAAAAAATGAGGGAAAAAAATATTTTTAGTTTCCTGCTGACAAAATAAAAATAAAAAAGTACTTAAAAATAATTGGACAAAAAAGTATATACCTCTAACAAAATACCTCGTATTAAATAAAACAGCATGTTTATAGGCTTTAAGGAATTGTTATTTTATTAGTTCACCTCCAAAAGATATAATAGGTAAAAATGAATGTTTCAATTATTTAGGTAAGAGATTAATTTTTCTACTATAAAGATTTTGGGCGGTGAAAGGTTCCACGCAAACAAAAACACACTCACTCACGCACACACGTATTTATGTGTTTAGTATATATTTGTTTATATAACAAACAAAAATTGATCGAAGAATTCTTTAAATAGAAAAAATTATTTTAAGAAATTTTAGGATTAAAAATAAGAAAATTTTTTTATAAAAAAATTTTTTTTTCAAATTTTTAGGAGGATTACCAACAACAACAACAATTAAAAATAGTGCAACATCAAATAGTTTATTTTCTTCAGAGTCTCAATTTTCTTCTGATAATGTATTAGATGATGAATCGACAAGTTTGGATACACCAGATGACCCAGAAATTAAATCTGTACTTAATAAAATGGAAGAATTGAATAGGTTTGGGGATTTTTTAAATTAAATTATTTTTTCAAAAATTAATTTTTTCTCAGAACAAACGAAGCAGATATTCGTAGTGTTACATCTAAAATTTCTTCAAGTTCTCAAGCTGGACGTTCTTCCTCTCCTTTACCCAATGGAAATAATCGTTATGAAGAATTGTTACCTCCACGAAGTAATTCTCTTCAACCAACAGTTGAAGATGATGAGGATTTTGACCTTTGGACGGTAATTTTTGATTTAAATTTTATATTTTTGGGGAATACAGGCCTCCTAAAAAATTTTTAAAAATTTTATTGATAAAAAATTTTTTCTCCAAATTTTTTTATTTTCCAGATTTGGGGAAATCTTGTAAAAAGTTGGGAATTGGAATGGAAAAGACGTCCAAGTTGTGTTAAAGAATTAGCTCGTCGTGGAATACCTCAACATTTTAGAACTATAGCTTGGCAATTATTGTCTGGTGCTAATGTAAAATTGTTACATGAAAATTATTCTGAATATTTACGTTTATCTTCACCATATGAAAAAGCAATTTCAAGAGATATACCCAGAACATTCCCAAAATTGGATT